GTATGTTTACTTTTTTTCTCAAAGGGTAGAAGTCTCTTATCCTTGTTTTCTTCATCAAACTATTACACACTGAGTTTAGCTTTCGTGGACCGGACATGTTTTCTTGTCATATCTTGATATTGATCCTTCTCCTGGCTTAAAAGAACTTGTGTTTCTATTCTTTGGTATATTCTAATTTCGCAGCATGTCGTTGTAGATATGGGCAGTACATAAAATTGCGTCAAGAAATCGACAAGAATGAAGGTGGATTAGAGGCATTTTCTCGTGGTTACGAAATATTTGGTTTCACTCGAAGGTAGACATCATTTTAATATATTCAAGTGCTGTTTCAATAGCTTTAGTAGTTCCTGTTACTGAATCTTCAGCACGCTCACGGTAAAATTTTAGTAAATACTCTTCAGATAGTTGGTATTGCAGTTGCTAATTATTATTCGCTGCTTTGCTAGCGCTACTGGTATCACTTACCGGGAATGGGCACCAGGAGCTAAGGTTTGTCTTATCTCGATTCTCAACCTAAAAGAATTTGCCTTCATTTGTCAAAAATAACTTTTCATACCTGAAGAGGATGAAATTATGTAGAATCATATTCTCATGTTCAATCCGGTTGATCGTGTGATGTACACGTATTGCCAAACATACTCAAATTTTTGTGGTAGTAAAATTTATCAGTGAGCTGTTAGGTTCCAGATTTCAAAACTGGTCAAATGATTTTGTATATAGCATAAAGTATGAACGATATGTGCTCACAGCTTACTATGCAACATCTCATGTATGAAAGTAGAGTAGAACCCTGTTGTTGTGACATTCGTTTTGTCCTTTGAATATATTCTAGTTACTGTTTTCCTAACAAGTTGTTGGTTGATTTTTCCTTCGCAGGCAGCATCACTGATTGGTGATTTTAATAACTGGAACTCTAAAGCTGATGTCATGACTCGGGTATGCTGTTACTTTTAACTTCCATTTGAGCTGATAGTCAAGTTAGTAGTTAAATTTTACTACAAAATATCTTGTTGGAAGCATGCTTTGTTCTGTTATCAGTCTTTTCCTTTCTGGAATTTTGATCTAATATAGTCCCGTTCACTGAAATATTGAGCAGAACGAGTATGGTGTGTGGGAAATATTTCTGCCGAATAATGCTGATGGCTCCTCAGCAATTCCTCATGGCTCCCGCGTGAAGGTATCATGTTAATAGTTTTCAAGTCACTGGTCAGATGTGTAACATTTTCGTCCATTACAAGTTTACAACTTACTGCTGCTGCGCATTCTCTAAATCAGTTTCAGGAGAAAATCCACATCGTTTTCCTTGTTTTTTTGCAGTTGTGAGAAAATGTAGAAAGAAATATCTTATTATACAACAGACAACTAGACAGCTTATATTCCAAGTGAACTTGTAGAGTGGTGATTTTTAGTGCATTTCTAATGATCTCATGCAAATATACAAATATTGGAAGACAATTAGTAGTGTGTTACATGTATCCTTTTCGAATAGCATACAAAGTGTTCACCTGTGTAACTCTATCCCATAACTTTTGTTTTATTTCATGTTTTGATAGATTCGCATGGATACCCCAACTGGTATTAAAGACTCCATTCCAGCTTGGATCAAGTACTCTGTTCAGCCACCAGGGGAGATCCCATACAATGGAGTATATTATGACCCTGCTGAGGAGGTAACTCACTTCACCTTCTCATTTGTTTTAGTGTTTTTGTAGAGATGATCTAAACTCTTCAAGTTGTAGATATCCAATAAAGAACATTATATTTTGTATTTAACTCATAACTGGTTTCCAGCATCAACGATGTGTATATGTGGTTTGATATATTTCTCTACCTTTTTTTCTGGTCCTGTGATTTCGCCAAGTCCTAAAGAGTACTCCATTGTTTCAGGACAAATATGTATTCAAACATCCTCGTCCAAGGAAGCCAACATCACTGCGTATATATGAATCACATGTTGGAATGAGTAGTACGGTCCGTTTCTTTCCTCTTTTCTTGGAATGATAATCACTACAATAAGTATTAAAATATCACTGATAGAGTTGGAGATGCAGACTGCATAAGCTACATTTAACAGGACAAATCTTGTAGGTGCTTGACTTTGTTGCTTGTTGAAGATAGTGAAATTAGGCATTTAAAGAGAATTTTTTAGTCCTTTTGAACAAGATGACTCTTATTGTTTGGCAGAGTCATTTTAGAGAATGTATAGTTTCAATATAAGGACGCAAAAGAAAATTTGAGAGTTCTTTCTCGTTTCAACTACACTTTTGACAATATGATAATAGGTAACTTTATCTTTTATGCAGGAACCAATGATAAATACATATGCTAACTTTAGAGATGATGTACTTCCCCGTATAAAAAAGCTAGGCTATAATGCAGTTCAGATTATGGCCATTCAAGAGCATTCCTACTATGCCAGCTTTGGGTATCTATCCGAGATATATCTTGTCTATTTACCTATTATCCAACACAGTCCTGTTATAACCTTTTGTTCAGCTGATGATTGAGAATGTGACTTCTCTACATGCAATGCAGGTATCATGTGACAAACTTTTTCGCTCCTAGTAGCCGCTTTGGAACACCTGATGACCTTAAATCTTTGATAGACAAAGCTCACGAGCTGGGTCTGGTTGTTCTGATGGATATTGTGCACAGGTATTGCCCTCCCGTTAATACTTCTCCAGAATCATCTTACATCAGATACTTAGTTCTGCCCTGGAATCAATTACAAAGTACTTTTACATGAATAATCACCATTGTCTTAAATTAAACCAGCCATGCATCAAAGAACACACTGGATGGCCTGGACATGTTTGATGGCACTGATGGTCAATATTTCCACTCTGGAGAGCGGGGTTACCATTGGATGTGGGATTCTCGTCTTTTCAATTACGGAAGCTGGGAGGTATCTCTCTGAGTCGATATTGTAATATTAAGGGGAAATCATCGGTCGACCACAACATTGGTAGATACGTCAGTCTCGGAATTAACTTATTTTCCTTGTCAATGTAGGTGCTTCGTTATCTTCTGTCCAACGCGAGATGGTGGCTGGAAGAATACAAGTTTGATGGGTTCAGATTTGATGGCGTGACTTCCATGATGTACACTCATCATGGACTGCAGGTGATACTTATGCATGGGATTTTTTGTTAGGTTTATATGATAGTAACTACCTATTACATCAGTATCGTACAAATATGCTGATGCCAAATTTATGGCTTTCTGCTAGCTAACTGCTCTTGTTTGTGATAGGTGGAATTTACTGGGAATTACAATGAGTACTTTGGATACTCAACTGATGTTGACGCTGTGGTCTATCTAATGCTGGTGAATGATATGATTCATGGGCTATACCCTGAGGCTATTGTTGTCGGCGAAGATGTAAGTCTTGCACCTACGTTTAGTGAAAACTAAAGTATTCATCACCTCTCTTGCATTCTCTCAATTTGGTTTCGTTACAGGTTAGTGGGATGCCAGCTTTCTGCGTTCCTGTCCAAGACGGTGGTGTGGGTTTTGACTACCGTCTGCACATGGCAGTGGCTGATAAATGGATTGAGCTACTCAAGTATGTCCTCAGGAAATCTTGGGCTTTCAATATGAATAAAATATCAAATTGAACTGATTTCTTATGTTGTAATTTTATGTAGGAAGAGAGACGAGGACTGGCAGGTTGGTGATGTAGTTTTCACTCTTACCAACAGAAGATGGGGCGAAAAATGTGTCGTTTATGCGGAAAGTCATGATCAAGCTCTTGTTGGAGACAAAACGATTGCGTTCTGGCTCATGGACAAGGTACTAATAAGACAAACAGCATAACTAACATCTTACTGTCTTGGAACTCTTTAAGTCAGGTTGTAGTTTTTGACTCATTCTTTTGTCTTTTATCTGATTCTGTAGGACATGTATGATTTCATGGCGGTGGACAAACAGGCCACTCCACGTGTAGACCGTGGGATCGCCTTACACAAAATGATACGGCTCATTACAATGGGACTAGGTGGAGAAGGATACCTCAACTTCATGGGAAACGAATTTGGACACCCTGAATGGATCGACTTCCCAAGGACTGACCGACACCTTCCTGATGGCAGAGTCATCCCTGGGAACAACGGTAGTTATGACAAATGCAGGCGTAGGTTTGATCTGGGAGATGCAGAGTATCTTAGATACCATGGACTACAAGAGTTTGATCGGGCAATGCAACACCTCGAGGAGAAGTATGGTTTCATGACTTCAGAGCATCAGTACATATCCCGCAAGGATGAAGGAGACAGAGTTATTGTGTTTGAGAGAGGTAACTTGGTCTTTGTCTTCAACTTCCACTGGACCAACAGCTACTCTGACTACCGTATCGGTTGCTCTGTTCCTGGAAAGTACAAGATCGTTTTGGACTCGGATGGTTCTTTATTCGGTGGATTCAGTCGGCTAGATGACTCCGCCGAGTTCTTCACCTCCGTAAGTCCATTAACTAAACAAGAAGGAAAGATAAAAACTCCTCCCAAAGTCATTTCAGTAAAAAAAACTGTCAATATTGCTATGCAGGATGGAAGGTATGACGATAGGCCTTGTTCCTTAATGGTGTATGCGCCGTGCAGAACTGCTGTAGTTTATGCTGCAGTGGGTGGTAATGATGATTCTTCTCTGGTGCCCATAGGCCTTGTGCCTGACGATGTTTAGGAGCAAGAGAAGAACGTCTATGTTTGCCTATGTAAGCTTATTTGTACTACAAATATGTACTTATCTCCTTCTCCTTTAGTTTCAGTTGCAGAGTTTCACTTGCAGCATTATATTAACTTAAAAAATAGCTGCATCTCTACGATTACTCTAGCTCTATATGCTTTATCACAGATTGTACTTAGTGATATGAAACACTTAGTTCCAAAAAGATAAATTTTTAGAGAACTGTAACAGATAGAGGGAAAAGCCTTACGAAAAAGGAAGCTGGCAACAAAAGCCTTTTCTGTTTGTAAAACGAAAATTTGAATTTGGTTAAACACTGTTCAATGAAAAGCTTGTGTTGAGACACGGAGCTGATGTAGAACACTGGTTGGGGAAGACGATGAGGAAGATCTCAGGGCTTCGGCCAATGGTCCGCCCATGTGGTGGTGGTGGTTGGGAAGGGACCCTCCACCGCTCCACCAGCTCATGTTTTGCTGGTCCCTCCCATTGTTGTTGCTCCTAGCTTCCTCCTCTTCCTTGCCTGTAGACAGCTTCAGAGAAACGTCCGAGGAAGAGTTTACAGGCGTGGAGATGGAGAGACAAGTGGTTGAGCTCATTGGGCTTGAACTATTGTCGGCTTTAGAGCGAGGCCAGTCGTCGAAGAAGTGCCTCAAAGTGTGTCCTCCGTCTGAGCTGTTGTTACCAAACCCATTATGGGATTCGAATGGCCTCTTATTGTTGCTTCCTTGCTTCAACTCTGAACTGTTAACATAATCCACAACTCATGATTTGAGTCACAATAGGTGAAAGCAATCAACCCCATATAGAAAACCAGAGTAAGCAAAATAGTTAAGATGTTCCACAATTAGGCTCAACAACAAAAGAGTGGAACCCTTTACAATGTTTATAGGCTTTAAAAGCACCTTTTACGTTTTAAAGAAGTGATTAAATAGTTCATAGATTAGAGTATTATTATTTATGAGGTTTGTAACATGTGATGTGTGTGGATAGGGGGAGGTGGGTGCAGAAGAATCTAAAAGCTTTAACTTCTCTGCAAGATATGAGATACATATCGCCAGCTTTAACTAAGGTCCTACCATTTCACCACTGTGATGCTCTCTCTCTTCTATTTTTCTGTTTGAAAAGTCTCATACCTATCTTAAAAGAAAAGATTCTATCAAATCCAATGTTACCATTATCTCTCATTAGTAGATATTTTTCTTCACAAAGAAAAAAAACAAACAAACAACCCTGAAAATGATAAGGATGTGTCTCTCAATTTCAAACATTACCCCTCTCTCCACAACATTGCTTCACATTCAATGTAAGAACATTCAAACCCCAAAGCTGTGTTATGTTATGTCTAATGTGTAATCATCATCAGTTTCATAGTTGTCAAATATCAGTATATCATTAAGGTGAAAAATCAACTGCGTATTTGGATAAATTTTGCCTCATTAACATTCAAAAAAAAACAATCGTCTCAAGTCTCAACCAAAATCTTATTGACTTAAAACTAAAGAAAGAAAAGTCAACGTGTTTGATGCTTTGACCAACAAGATCAACAGCTCAAACAGACAACCAAAAAAAACAGTGTCTTTTTTTATTACCTTTGACTAAGGTTGAGAAGTTCAGAGGAAGAGTTAGAAGAACCAGAACCAGAGAAGAAGAAACAAGAAGATTCTCCTCGTCCCACTTCCTCACCACCGCCAAAAGCAAACAAAGATGCTGTTGCAGCAGCGGGTGCAGAAGCAGGAGCAATGGGAGCTGTGGTGGTGGTAGTGGCATTGACGTTAGGAGTTTCCACAGGCTTTCTTGAACGGTTGCGGCCACGGTGCATGTGGCGCTCGCAATACTTGTGGCCAGGGAAGACATCCCTTGAACATCTCCACTTCTTCCCATCAGTTCTCCTGCATCTCCCTGGCTCAGGATCCATTGCTCCCTTACCCATATACCCTGTTTTTTTTCCAAGTCATATCACACAGTTCAGTATCAAGAACAGAGACCCTAGTATACAACTTCAATTACAATCATAGATGTTAGAGCTCCAATAAGGGCACACCATTTTAAGGATGAGTCAAATATTTTTACTAGACAAAAGCAAGAACCCATCACATGCTTCTTCAAGATTTGCTAAAACAAGATAATATTAAAACCAAAGTCTGGATCTTGGGAACACAACTTCAACAACAACAAGGACAAATCCTACGCATTCCATTTATAAAAAAAGATTATTAAACTTTCTCTTCAAACAAGGTAGAAGTGATTATTTATAAAAATTAAAAAAGAGCATATTCTCATAAGATGAAATGAAACCAAGAAAGGAGAGAGAGATATGAACTCACAAGCAGGCTGGTAATGAGAGAGGTGTTGAAGAGGGTGGTGAAGAAAGTAGGAAGGAGATAGATGGAGAAGACTTTTCTTGATTGGCAAAAGAAGCTCTTGTGGAACAGCAGCCCCAGCCAACATGTACCTGTAGATCAGTGCCTGTAGTTCAAGCTCTTGCCACTGTGACCAGCTAAAGAAACTCCCCATCTCTACAAAAGAAAAAAATAAGACAAACCCACATCAAAATCAACAACACATATCACTAGTTTGACTATACTGAGTGAAAAGTCAAATCTCTTTGTTTCAGAAAGACTCACTGGGGAACCTGGGAGAAGAATCATGAGACAAAGAGGAGAGTTTAGAAGAGGTAGGTTCAGGGGAAAAGAGTGGGAGAGCAGTGGAAGTTGCAGTGTGGGATTGAGTCTGATCAAAGACATGTTTTGGTATCTTAGCTGCAGAAGGTTGTTCTTCTGACTCTGTCTGGCTTCTCCATTGTTTCAGCTGCAAATCCATGGGAGAGAGAGAGAGAGAGAGGAGAGTGTTGGCTGATTTTTGCTTTTTTCAACCTTTTTGTTTCCAGAGTCTGATTTTTATAGTTATATGGCAACAACAGCAAAGTGTTGTTGGAGTTGTGAAGAGCAAAAAGAAGAAAATAACAACTTTTTCCCCCTATTAGTCAGTTTCTGTAGTTGAGCTACTTCTGCAGAGAGAAGAGGATAGAGGTTTTTATTAGGGCAAGAGAAAAAGACTGAGACAAGACAGATGGGGGAGGAAACTATACAGTAATAACTTTATTAGTTGGGTTCATAAACCTTCGTTAATCTCAAGATTAATAGTAATATAAGTTAGAATAAAAAAAAAGTCAGGAAACCCAGAAAGAACCACTCTCTGCAAGATGAAGATGGAGAGGTAATAACCTGGAGTTTTTCTGTCTAGCTGCCTTGGAAATATCACTTGCATATTATCACCATTTAATAATTAACTCTTCATTTTAATTAATTTCTTGAGAAAAGATAAAGCTGCTGCGAGGAGATGTTTTTAATTAGTGACAAAATAATTAGAGTCCTTGATTCATTAATCAGATGTCTGAAACAGAAGTGATTCGTGTAAAAAATATTTAATGAGTGAGCGTTACGTCCTGATATATTTTGCATTTGGTGACAACAAAGCGAACACTACGTTAAATTTGAGTTAGTAAAAGTTACGTTAAATTCTTATTTTAATCATACGTCAACTGAAATGTACTTTCCACTCTCTTTTCTCTGGTGTTTGACCTTCAAATTATGTACTGTCGTCCATATCTTCTATTCTATCTATAGACTACGCTCTAGACTGTAACATTATTTAGTGGAATCGGTTGAACATTATCAAAACATGGTAGTATTATATAAAATAATTACTTCATGGAGCTAATGGCGAATGGAAGATAAACAGAATGGTCAGACCTTTCAGCAGAATAAAAATCAAAAACTCTTTTAATACCAAGAGGTTTAAGGCAGAACCTCGTAATCCCCCAAACCCGAAATTAAAATTAGTTTCATGGTAACGGTTATCGAACTGTGTACTTCTGAAACGATAGCTAGGAACCTTTCCAACATTGCCTATAAGATAACTTTGAGTTCCGAGTGAATCAAAACAAAAATCCTCATTTGTTTTGTAGCAGTTGGCTCCCATTTGAACTATGTCCTGAGTTGCTCTTTATGCACCGTAATGAAAAAAAAACAGCTGCTCTTGCCATTTTTGGAGGCAGAACCAACATCGTATGTTAAAAAGTTCAGCAGAAGTTTTGGTTTACTATATTTTATCAACGGGTTGACTTTGTTTTCTATTCATTTCTGTATACTATTCAAGTTATTTTGGGGGTTGATTTAGAGGCTTATAATCGGTTCAACTCAATGAAGTGGAGAGAGAGTAGTAACAATGAGTAAAGAGAAGCAAGTGGGCTGTGTCAGAAGTGGTAAAAGCATAAAAGTGAGTAGTAACAAGTGGGTGGTGAGGGTTATTTTGCTCTGTATGACTCATCTTTGATTTGACTACTCATAGTACTTCTCTCTTTTTCACTTTTACCCCCTCATTTCTCTGTTTTCTACATTACTAACCTCGTAATCTTTAACACTTCACTCACACCGTAACTTTTTGTTTATTTTTTGCTTGAATTTGGGAACGTAGTTCATTGGTGTTTGTTTTCTAATCTTGTATATACTTACTCTTCACTAGCGTTCGTTACATGTTCCGTTCTTACAATGTATCTGTTAAACGAGTTAATAATAATATGACAAACGGATACGTTTCATTGTATAAAACAAATCATGACAAGTAAAAGTTGGGGAGGGAAGAGTAGCTTTTCTCTTTTACGTTGGCAAGAGACGTTTGTTTATGTCATGCTTTCGTGTTAAATCTTCTATTGATTTAAGAAATTAGTGGTAGCTTTTTATATTTAAATTGACAAAACGAGATAGTATAGTACAATTAAATCTGAAACAAAATCGTAGTATATATAAATCTGAGAGGAACAATGACATAGAGAGAATAAGGAGCAAGAGGCAAAGAAGGAGGGCGAGAGAGAGTGTTCACATGTCCAAGTGAAGACAAATACGTTTTTCTGACACAATCTGTCGTGATACCGATTTTAATTTTTATAATATGTTTGTTGTATGAGAAAGAAACGTATCACTTTTCTGTAAAGAATAAAGTTTTTGTGTTGTAGACTTGTAGTATAACTTGTTTTCAAAACAAAGAAAAAGAAGACTTGTAGTATAATTTTTTTTTTCTTTGGACCCAATATTTTTTTTTGTTGTTGCTATATTATTACAAAACAGAAGGCTCAGATTCAGTTCACGTATGTCCTACATTTTTCTTTGGGCCCAACTTTTTTTTTTGTTGTAGTAAAAGGCAAGTCACGCCAGCACGCGAGGCCTCACGTGATTCCACGTGCTTTACTATCCCCTATTTATTTGCTTTTATTAGGTTTGGATATTCAGTTGGTTCCGGATAAAAACCATTCAGTTCCAGATATATTGGATAAATTCTTCTTATATCCAATAGATATTTATGAGATTTTGGTTCGGTTCCAGTTCGATTTCGTAAATCCAATAAGAATTCGAATCAATAAAGTGTTAATTTTATAAATATTTATTATATTTTAATATAAAAACACCATATATTTTTATAATAACAGAATAAATAAAACATAACGTGGTCTAGTGGTAAAATGTACTTAATCTTTGTATCTAACCTGAGTTCAAGTGGGTTTGATGTCATTTTATCTTATTTTAAAAAAATGAACTTGTTTTTTTGGATATTCAGGTACCCGTTCGATTCTCGGTTCGGTGGTTCTAGTTCGATTTTCGGATATAGAAATATAAGAACCATTCAGATATTTAAGAATTTTGGTCCGATTTCAGTTTCGGATATTTCGGTTCGGTTCTGACTTAGTTTTTTGGTTACGGTTTATTTGCACAAGCCTGACTTTTATTGTGGTTCGGTAAAGAATTTAATTTTTCTTTTTTCGTCGAAAAATTACCGAATAATCTTTTGTCTTGCAAAAAAAAAGAATGGTTGGTTTTTCTTCCTCACGTGTGTTTTAGAAGATGATATTAGCCAGAGACGAATCAACTAGAGACCTACGAAACATATTTTCTAGCACGGTCCACTTATGCTTTGATACCATGCATTCACGTGATTGCAAACAGGCGTAACATTGATGCTTACTAACACTACATAAGCACATTCCTGATGCCTCGATATGTAAATGTAAATATCCACCTCGCTATTGGTTATATATTTGAGTCAACCACACACACACACAAAAAGGGCTACTACCAAACTCGGACTGCAACATGTTTATTTATACAATATGAATGGGAGAAAATAATTGAAAAGAAACAAATAGGAAAGAATAGATCTTTCTGGTGAGAACACATGACACAACACATTAAAACACAAGGTATCTAAGGGCATTACCGCACGTGTCAACATGCAAAGATCAAAGACATGTGACCTTTTAATAGTTTCATATTTTTAAAAAATCAAAAGAATCCAATGTAAAAGACTACTTTTCCTTCATGTCATGCCAATATCTACTTGTTTAAAAATCATTATACTAGTAAACAAGTTGTTTTCAATATAAGATCAGCCGCTTATAAACTGCGGAAGGGTTATAAACTGAAATTACCATGTCAATTTATTCCGAAAGAACGCTAGTTTTGTTTTCTGTTCTTTTACTGAAGGGGTTAACATACTTTTGTACGACCACATAAAAATTCTGATTGAAAACTGTAAATTAAAATCGATTATAACTGATAATCAGTGGCGGAGCCACATTAGAGGGAGGGGGTCAACTGATCCCTTTGGAATTGATAAAATGTAAGTTTTAGGCTTAAATGCAGTATTATTATAGTGACAAACTAGTTGAAAACCCCTATGTCTTGAGTTCAAATTTCAAAGTATACCTTTTTGACCTAAATAAATTCATTACCCTTTTTGACCTAAAATAAATTCATTCAAGAGATTCTTCATGTTCTTCTTCTCTGTCATTGACTCACAATGTTTGTCATAAACATCTTTGACAAAACCTCCTTCACTCTTCTCCAACAACCTCTTCCACTTACTCGCCGGCAAGCTAAATCTCAAGGTTTCAGCTTTCTTTTTGCAAATCTCAACAGCTTCTACAATGTTTCCTTTGTGCTTTGTTTTGAGAGATTTCGTGTAGACTGTTTTAATCTCTGATTTTTTTTCCGAATCTTCTCCCTTTTTGCCTTGCTGAAGCATCGAACTTGCATAGATTCAGGCTTGTCAGAAACCAAACGACCCAGCTTGGGAATGTAGACTCTGAAAGAAGGATTATATGTGGTCATTTTTTGGCTTAGAGAGAAAGAACAGAGAGATTCAGAGTAACAAACTGTATTTTGGGAGAGAAGGAAGTAAGAGCATGTGCAATGGGGGACCTTAAGAGGAAGTCCTTAGGGAAACAAAATTTAAATAATCAGTGGATTCCACGAAAAATTAAAGATTCAATCTTTAAAATCCTCTTTTAAGGACTTATTCTTAGTGAATCTTTGCACTATTTTCGAACCTCCACGACATGTTTTTGTAGCATATAAAGTATGTGTAAGCAAATAGATTGGAATAAATATACTCTACTCTATTCTAAGAAATCAATGGAGCAACTCAACAAAACTTTGAATCTACTTCATTCAAGAGAAAATAATAGGTAACCAATGATTTCTTAGAAAATTTACAATTTGAGTTCAGTCAGTATGACCTCTGTGTAAGGCTTTATGTATGATTTTGGGCAGTATAAACGGCCGTTTAAATTAATTGGCTTTTATTCTTCCAGAATTTTGTATCTGACACTAACTTAATTAAAGTTTTCTTACTTCGATAGCCCAACCGAAGAAACTTATCCATTACGTTTAAATCATGTCCAACAAACAGTTTTCTCCTTGGACACCATATAGAACCTTTCTTAGGGCCCAATATAAGTTTGTAAGCTACCGAAGTATTTTTTTTGTCAACAAACTATCAATGTATATAACCCTGTAACTCATGTTTTGGTAGGATACTATGAAGGTGAGTTTATATTTTTTTTATTATCTGGTGTCATTTACCAAAAAAATAATTGGTTTGATCAGACCAATTTGGAGTATCGATCACTTAAAAGTTTAGTTTACTGAGAACTTGGTTAATGTGTTTATGTTTTTCATCTTATATATTTTTCGACTAAAACTCTGCCTATGGTTATTTTGATGTTCCCATTACAAGAAATAAAACCAGCGTCATTCCAATATCATGAGACAATAATGCTAAAACACTGAAATAAGACAAGTGATAACAACGACCGTTTATTCTGCTTTATTTAGTGGGTATGCATATTGAATTAAATATTTATAATACTTCGTACTTTTTGCTTCTTCTTTTTTCTTCGTAATTTCATTTTGTCTTGTGGTATTCGTTTCGTTATATATGTATAAAAATCAAAACAAGATCGGCATGCAATGCAGGTTTGTGCTTTTGTTGATTTAGGACATAGAAGTGAGCGCAACAGTAGTATAAACTTTCATATTTGTCATGTTTTGTGACCACTGATCACCAAATCCTTTCTTGTTTGTTTTCTTAACAACTAATATAAATCATAAACACAAGATTTTTTTTCTTCGAAAGACGTGAGACGTTTTACATATAAAACCATATCATATTATCATATAGATAGTGGATTCAGACGACAGTAGAAAGCTGAAAAGTTAGTTCATAAAGCAAAAATCATAGAAATTCATTCGTTTACTGAAGTAGTAGTACTAAACACATTTAGCCTATTTGATCTTACATTACAATATTTTACGCTCTATGTCCATATTGTCGCAATCTTTGACATAATTTGAAACTTTAAAACGGCTTGATTTAAAAACTTTTGAATTTATGTTGCCACGTTACAACAAATTTAAGAATGATTTTGTTTATATCGATTTGTTAATAGGCCACGTACACTCATGTCCAAATTCGACTTAGCCCTAGGATTCTAAACGACTCTCATGATCTGGTGTTTTGGCTGCCTCTAATTTATTGACAATTTGGCTGTTACGTTGATGGCAACTCACACTTCGTCTTCGATACAAACTTTTTCACTGAATAGTTGTGCTCGTTTTTTAGTTATACTTTATACTACTAAGATGTTTCACAAGTTTCTATGCAGATTTTTAATCAATGATGTTTTCTTGAAATGCAAGAGTATTTTAATCGTACAAATGTATATATATTTCTGTTTAGATGATTGATAGAGATGTATTTCTATATTCTAAATACAACTCAATCCCAAGTATTAGATTGTAAATTCTATAGTTTTTTTTACTAGTAGATGTTTTTCTAAATTATATATACGACTCAATCGATTCCAAAATAGTTGATTGTAAACTCTAGTCTTATATGTTTGGTAGAATCCAAATCTACATCCAAAAACTATTGTATTAGAATTCCCGTTGCATTGTTTGTTAATACTATGCAATATCATATTTAGAAAATAATAATGAATGTCTTTCCTTTAATTGATGGGATTTTGACTATTATTTTAAATAATACATCAAGAATATAAAACTTTTGTTTTGTTGTATAACAAAATAAATCAAATAGTTAAACAGCATTTAGTGTGAATCATTGAATTGAATGGAACATGGTAATGCAATGAAGAAGAGAGCATGTAGATCAAGGATATGCATGCATGCTAAGAAAAAACAATTTGCAATGGTCCCAATATCTCGGTAAAACAAATTCTGAGGAACGATGGATAAGGTACAGTTAATTTGAATCGAGTGACAGTGTTTCACTCAATTAAAACTCATCAAAAATGTTGTCACTCAGTATTGATGGCTATCTATATACATTAAAGACTAGCGTTGTTGAAAATATATTTTTCCTACATTTTCCTATTTTTTAAAGAGCTTACACTGTACTATCCAGTCTGGAATCATATTTTTTTTAAAGTCGTTTCTCTCTCTATGCGACTCCAAGGCGATTAGGGTTTCTCAACCTTGATTTGCCGCCGTCGGTGTGGCCTCTCGCCCACCGGTGAGAATCTCCTCTGTTTCCCTCCTCTTCCTTTCTTCCATGGGTATGATGATGCTTTCTCGGGGTTCAGAGTCACCGTTGCTCCTTCCCCCACCTCCTGAACCACCGCCGTTTATTTTTCCTATAGATCTACTCGCTGGGGTCTCTGCTCCCGACCCTCCTGATCCCCCCCGACGCTCCTGACATCCTCGACGTTGTGGATCTGTTCTCCTTACCCTGCCTGTGTTTCACCTTAGCAGCTTCAAAGTTTCCTCCTTTTTACTGTACGACAACATCTGACTCAGTCTGTATGTTGCTCGTTTCTCTTGGAGTGAACCTTGTCAAGCCTCTGTTTCTCCCTACTGCTGGTTGCAGGTTTCAGATCTATAATTTCGTATGTGGAAAACTTTGTTTTTTCTCTCCTTTCTTATGCATAATTTGGAAAGGTATGACCTCTGTGACCTGTCTAAATGACTCTAAATGGGATGGAAGATACCTCAGATTTGGATTCCTTGTCCTCAGTTTAAGAATTCATTTACGACAATTACCTCAGTATGAAGACCTTATGCTTCTTGTTAGTCATTGTTTAACTCAGTACGAAGCTGTTAGGCACTTGTTTTACCTTACCTTACCTTACCTCAGTATGAGGTTCACTTACCTCAGTATGAGGTTGTTGTTCCAAATCTCCATTTGTGCTCATTACATTATATTTGTGTGTTGGTAGTCTTCTCTGATGTTTCAGGTCTACAACTCAAAAAGATAAGAGATGGATTTAAAAAAGTCAATCTTGGCTTCTTAGTTTCAGACTTGTTTGTCTGGCGGTGGTGGTTCTTGCAACTCCACATAATTGTCCTTTTATGGTTAAGGACTTTCTCACAATTCCAAGGCTCATTAAGATGGTGCTTGATCACCTCTGTAGCCAAACTTCTTGCTGTTCTCTATGCATTTGTTGCTGCAGCATGTTCGGGTAGCAGTTCACTGAGTGTGTTCTCTCTTTCCCGTGGCTTCATCTCACTCATTAGCACTCATGGTGTTTCACTGTTAAGTTGCTTGCGTGTTATGTTTGCTTTTATCTGTGTTTATGTTATCCGCTTTGCCTTTGATGCAGCGGTTTCTTTAGCTAATGTGGCTATGTTATTGTATCTGTTGAACAATTCCTCCATAGATGGAGTCAAATCAGGTTTGAACAAAAAAAAATAAAGAGCGTACACTGTACTTAGTATTTGGAGTTTTCAATTAGTCTAATATATAAGTGATGATGCTTTGGGAGATCGTTTTAAATTTTCTGAGCAGTACAAATACTATGCAACAACCAATTTGAACAATTATTAAGAAAAAAAGATAGTTTGTTTTATTATATTTCCTTTAAAAGAAAACAAAAATCAAGACAAGTATACCAGAAGTACACGTACAGTGGTTATCAACAGTTGCCAACAAAAGCTGATTTCCAAATAATTTCAAAATAAAGTTAATTTATCGGATATTCCATATATTATAAAGTCAGTGAGCATTTATTTTTTCCACTTACACGTTTTGATAACGACTGTCATATTATTCTTTTTATTTTGTATAAATAAAAGGAATGGTACACTCGAATTGCGTAAATGCAAGCATATAATTAAGTATCATGCCCACGAAACACATTTGTAATTTGCCCGCAAAATGCCATCGACGTTCCATTTCTTTTATTCTTAACGTATTTCAATTTCTAAAGAAAAACTCAAAACAATAATCGACGTTCCATTTCTTTTATTCTTAACGTGCATTGCTCCATGTATATAATAGCTATATATTTATTGAAATCGACAATGCGTACTTGAATATGTAAGAAGATTTTGATCAAAAAAAAAAAATGTAAGAAGATTTTCTACGTGTGTATTCCAGTTGAAAATTATAGCAAATAAAACTCCGATGGTTACACCAAAAAAAAATATAACTCCGATGGTTTCACGTAAAAACTAATTAACTCGTGGTATATATTATTTTAACCTAATATAATAGATCCTACTGCTGCATATACCCTATATCATAAACAGTACTAGTGTTTAAGTTCATACGTCAAATAAAATGTAAACGTTTTTAACGGATCCTTCAATAACTCGTTAATTGTCAGTTTGTCACCTTCGGGCTTCGTATTCATGAATGACTAAATATCTCGATGCTGTTTTAAATTCGAAACTTTATCCCCAAAATCTCATTCGAATTAGTTAACCCAAAAAATATAAATGTATATTTAATAAAATATTTAATTAATATTTTGGTCATTTTAATTGTTAATGTCTATATTTGTGATAAAGCATTTAATTAATATTTTTGGTCATTTTAAGTTTATTCTAGTCATTTTCTCAATAAAAAATTAAAATGCAAGAAATAATTCGTTTAGTATCCAAAGACTCTAACCTAGCAGGGAGTCCTTTCTACTTTTGTTTCATGCCGTTTGCTTATAATAGTCTATCTACAACTTTGTAAAATAAATCGAGCAAATTACTAATCAAGCTTAGAGGGCTTTAATCACTAATTAAGCTTAAGCCATTTATAGTGAGTTACGTTGGGTTCTGTTTGAAATTTTTGCTGCATAGTATGAATAAATCATGTAGTGTATAGTAAACTCGCAGTGAAATACGTACATACGGTTTTCAAATTTCAATTATTATATACATTTTTTCTTGCAATATTTAATACATAATTAAAATCCGTCGGTAGATCCATAAATTGACATTTCATGGTACGACTGAGGAAATATATAAATTTATTGGTCGATACACAGTTTTGTCATAACAATAAAAATAGTTAGAAGACAAAACCGACATATACGGCGTCGTTTTACGTTCCACGCGTTCAGCAAAATCTTTTTGTCTGCTGCATGCTCAGGTGATAAAAGGGCTGTAGATTTGGCTTATTAACAAATAATTAAACAAAATAATCAGCTGCTACTTTAACTAATACTACAGCTTTGTATCCCTTGTTCGTTTTTGTATATTTCAAGTTGATTAGGTTAGTATTTAAATTTCTAGACATGGTGGCATCCGAGAACAAACAAGTGTCCCTACAAGGTGTTTGTCCCTACAAAGTGCTCTCTCCTTAGCTATTAGTATATAGTTAATACAGTATATTAGTACCAAATTGCAATTACTTATTTTTATATACGTTGTGATAATTAGTGGACTTCGCTTTTTATGAAGAAATCATTCATATTGAGACAACAACAACAACAACAATAATAATAATAATAATAATAATAATAATAATAATAAATCTTACATTATTAAACACACAGATTTGTCAATAATTGAAAAATAGGCATGAGTGGATGAACAGTAAAACCAATTATATAACATATGAGTCCACATTTTTTCTTCAAATCAATTTTGAAAATTCAACCCAAACCTAAACTGTAGTGCTACATAATATTACAGGTCGAACCATAGTGAAAATATCACCTATATACTATACTATACTATATAAATATACAAACATAAAGTCCACAGATGCTGGGAATTTAATTAAAGGGAGTACCCAGCTGTAAAGCCTACATCTTTTCTATCTCATTTATGGTGCGAACCTTTATTTGTCCTGCCCAATGCATTTTTTTATAGTAAGTACTAATGCCCTATTCTTCACTTGTGTAATTTCAATTTTCAAGAAACAATAATTCGATGTGTATATGCATATTATTTCGTGTATTGGCAAATTTTCACGTGTGGACAATGTATGAGTATATACGTAGGACAAATTAGTCGTTGGATTAGTAGTTACCAACAGTCGCCTTAGTTAATAAATTAATATTCTACTTTTGTTTTGTGTTTGTTAGGGTGAAGATAATATAAAACATTTATGATCTTAATCATAGATATATTACGACAAAGATATGAACCTGTTCATTACTCGAAAATTATATGAAGACGAAATAGAATATGTCCTAATTTTTTTGGGGTTATTTGTGAAATAGCCACAAACAAAAACAAAATTAGTTTTGTAAGAGAGAGAGTAGAGAGAGATAGGAAGAAAGAGGGGGAGAGAGAATGAGATTTTGGCTAGATTGTTAATTTTAGTTTTTTTCATAGCTAATACACACAATTTCCCAATTTTTTTTTTGTCATCAATATCCGATCTATGTATGAATTATTTAATACTCTTCTGTTTATCTATACTTAACGTTTTAGAGTAATTTGTTGTTCCAAATTATTTTACATTTTAAATTTTCTATATAAAATCTATTAATAACTAATATTAAATGAGCAATAATACTATTCCCTCCGTTCCTTAAAGATACATATTCTAGAAAAAAAAATTGTTTATAAAAGATCCATTTTTTTACATTTTCAATGTATGTTTTATTAAATAATTGTAAACTTCAAAAAACTTAATTGCACTAATTGATTTTTGATTGGTTTAAAATTATGGAAAGGAGATAAATACAAAAAACTATGCAAATTTATTGTGTTTTATTAAAAAGTGTGAAAAAACTAGAATATGGATCTTTTAGAAACAGAGGGAGTATCATTTATATTTTATTATTGGTTGAATTGTTATTAGGTAAATAATTAATGATGTATTTTGCTTAGAAATTAAAAAATAAAAAATAATCTATATGCATAATCCTAAAACGTCAAATATAAATAAAAAAATGGAAGGAGTTGTTTTTGTTTTTGCTAAAATACCTTTTTTAACATTTGTTTCTGAAACTAATATATGTGTGGTTTAGTTTCTTGATTTCAGCATCGTCAGTCTTTACTATATGCAGTATTCCGACCACTGATATATGAGATTTTGTTTTTGCTTAACAATGGAGTATGAGATTTCTTGAAATAACTAGTCAACGATAGATTTCGTGCCATGCCCGGTAACGTTAGATGTGGAACATGGGGTGTCTTTCCTTTTGAATTAACAATCACTAAATCAGATTATGAATTACGTCAAGTGCCAATGAGATTGTTATCACTAAAACCATAGCTTATTGCTTTCAAATCCAGTTAACGTCAGTCCATTTTATATAAATAAACACAGAGTATTTGATTAAACTGAGTTTGTTTTTCAAAATGCGAAAATTAAACATTCAACTTGTAAAAATTTGTTTGAAGCCAAAGTTGGATAGTTAAATATCATAGAAAATGTAATAGATAGTGTGTTATCAATATCTGATTCATGTTTAATGTTTTTTCTTATGGTATGTCACACATATTTTAAAATTCTAGTCATGGATCTCATAAACTACAAATAAATAGACTTTTTTTATAGTGAAGAGTAAATATTCATCATCTCAGGTTCATTCTCCAAAACATCAGAAAGTAGGATACGAGAAGTGCTTGTGTGTTTAAAAGATAAAATTACCATTACAAACTGTGACTTTCTTTCTTAGAAATTTATATATACTAGCAAAAATACAAAGTAAGCAGTAAGTGTTACTGCTAAAAGAGCAATAAACTTGCAAAGTATATACTAATTACGATATAGAATGACTCGCATACCGATACTACAAGTCTACATCTTCAAGTCTTCAAGCAAGACACATGGAAAAACAAGTGCATACCAGTAGGGCTGGGCATTTTATTCGTTAAATTTGATTCGATTCGTTATTCGTCTCGATTTGATCCGAAAATTCCGGATATCCGTAAACTTTCGAATCGAAGCAAATACTAAAAATCAATATTCGTAAAAATCGAAGCAAATCACAAATATTAAAATTTTGGGAAGCGGATATCCGATCCGATCCGGAAATATATAAATATATNTTTTTTTATTTTATATATCATGTAAAAAAAATTTAAAAAATAAATTTATATAAGATTATTGTAACGGATGAGATATTCGTAAGTATTCGTAAATATCCGCAAATATCTGTTTATTTTCCGGATATCCGTATTTTTCCGAAGCAAAGCAAATACCAAAATCAGATATCCGTAACATACGAAGCAAATCACAAATACCTTCGAAAACCCGGATATTCGATCCGTGCCCACCCCTACATACCAGCATCCCAGTTTTCATCTTTTTACAACAGGTGGAAGCGAACGTACATGAATCATGACCATAATCTGATCCTTACATGATGAGAAATTGATAGTGCTTACATTACTCGAGTGCATTTATAATCCAGGTGATTGAAATTACTGCTCAATCAAAAATAAAAGAAATTTGATTAATATCAAAATTCTACTATCATTAATCCACAAATACACTATTTGAATTTTACACGAAAACTCTATTCTCTCAGGAGAGCCTTTAAAGGCCCACCTCTGAAAATAATATGTCAACTAAAATTTCTTTAAAACCAAACAAAATTACCTTTGCAGAAAGACACATGTCAAATTACATTTCAACATGAAGAAATAAACGAAACCAAAACTTTAATTTTATTTTTATTTTTCAAGATGCTAGGAAATAACCAAATCCTAGCATTGACTCTTTATCCAATGTCTTACCCTTTGTCTATAACTGTTCCTCATCTTTCACTCTCTTCACCAAATCTCTCTCTCTTCTATAAGAAAGAGCACACCAAAGTTTAGAGTAGTAGTTTTGTCTCCATGGCTGGTGAGAAGAAGAAACACTTACATGAGCTTCTTGAAGATGACCAAGAACCTTTTCATCTCAACCATTACATCACCAACCTTAGGTCTCACTTAGGTTGCTCCGAGTTGCGTGTCAAGAAACGAAAGTCTGAAAACGCCACCGTTCTACCTCATGGTTTCTTCTCATGCGAGCGTTCTTGTTTCTTCGCGACACATAACAACTCTCCCGACCCTAGAAAGTCTCCTCTCTTTGAGCTCCGTTCTCCGGCGAACAAGAAGGCTCGTGACGGTGGAGTTTTCCTTCAGATACCGGCAAGAACCGCCGCAATTCTGTTGGAAGCGGCGGCTAGGATTCAGAAGCAGCAGGTAGAGAAGGCTGACAACAGAGCTCGGAACAGAGGAAACGCGTTTGGTATGTTCGGGTCTGTTTTGAAGCGGTTGACTAACCGTAAAGCGAAACCGTGTGTGGATAACGCTGATGGAAACGCGGTTTTGTCTGAACGCGGGTCGGAACCAACGAGTAGTAGTAGTAGTAGCAGCCGGCGAGAGCGTTTGGTGGAGGTTGATGATAAGTGCTTTTGTGAGAGCCCTTTTCATTTTGTCCTCCATACAACTCCTTCTACTTCCGGTCACCAGACTCCCCATTTCACGTCGACGGCTACTTCTCCGGCAAGACGCAGTACAGAGGTTTGTCTTAATATCGAAAATTAATTATCTTTTTCTTGGAACTGCTTAAAATTTAATATAAAATTATGAAAATGTTACTATTTTGGTTCCACAAAGATAATATTTTTTCACACATATTTGAAAACACATTTTTCAAAAAAAAAAAAAACTTATGTATATATATATATATTAGAAAAAACATTAAATTTATTCAGTAAATATACTTCTATGATTATAGATATTCAATAGTTTTAACTTTATTGAAAATAGATAAATCATAAAAATTCTTGTCCAAAATAAAATCATAGAGATTCTAATAAAGTTAAACAATGTAACTTAATAAGAGTAAATAGTTAGTATTGGATTGTATGACTTTCAAACAATTAATAATTCACTTTAACTAGGCAGATTACCCCTTAGTAAAATACAATTAAACTAAAATCAAAAGTCTAACTAGATTATAAATCAAAAATCCTAAACCATAACATTTTAATGGTGAATTACAAACAAAATGGCTTATTTCCTTAGTTTTAAATATTATCAAATTTTGTTTTTGATTTTTGAATTATTCCTAAATTAATTCACTGCCAATTATAGAAGTCATAAATTATCATACAGTAAAAAAGAGAGTAAAAAACATTCTATGAAAAAACATCTGATTAGAGCAGTGTGACACATGACCGGCTGAAAATTGCCGGTCTGATATTGACTTCACTGCATCATGTAAGTTCTTCAGGAGTACGGTTAAATATGTTTTTACATCAGAATCTCGAATATGCCCCTACCCTCCTCGACTGAACACATGTCATAGATCCTCGGTTTGGTGAGGGTGCTTATGTCATTTACATTTCCCCACTATGACGATTATTGCATCCACTAGATATTCAACTTCAAAAGATTTCAAACCAAAAGACATTTTCTACCTTTTATTTCAGTAGGTCAAGTCTTAAATTAAATGTAAACCAAATCTTGTGTTAGTTAGTCTTTAGAAAATGTCAGTATCAAGGTTTTGTCAAAAAGGTGCAATCTTTTTAGGGAAAGAAAATTTAAATGTAAACAATTTACCCTACATGTGAGTGGGGGTTTAAATAAAATGCACAGTAAATAAGTTATAGAAGTGAGAGACGAATAATGAAAGTAGCTAGATAGCTTAAAAACCCACCTTCATGGATATAAATTTGAATAGCTAAAATTAGTTGTAATCCAATGGCCAAAAATAGTAAAAGACAAAAAATGGTGAAACCAAAAAGTGTAATAAATGAGTTGTAACAGGACGAAGATAGCGATGAGACAAAGAGCTTAGAGAAAGTGAGAGGACAAGGAGAAGAAGATAAAGAAGAGGAAGACAAAGAACAATGTAGCCCTGTTTCTGTACTTGACCCTCTTGAGGAAGAGGAGGACGACGAGGACCACCACCAACTAGAGCCTGACCATCTCAATCTCCCCTCGTGCAGCTTTGAAGTTGTACAACGTGAGTAACCAATTTCTTGGCCCAAAGAAGTTGAAAACATAACTTAAAATTGGTCCCAAAATGTTTTTTTAAGGGTTTTAAATTTGTGTGTTGGACTAAACAGGGGCGAAAAGGCGGCTACTCAAGAAGCTTCGTAGATTTGAGAAGTTAGCAGGGCTGGATCCTGTAGACCTTGAAGGGAAAATGTCAGAGGAAGATGATGAGGATGAGGATGAGGATGAGGAGAGCGAGGAAGATGATAACATAAGGGTTTATGATTCGGATGAAGACTATGAGGATGTGGATGACGCAATGGCTAGAGAGGAGAGGAGGACGAAAGATGATGAGAGGCAGAAGAGGTGGAGGATGATGAATGCATGTAGGGTAGGAATGGGTGCGGAGGAAGATGTAGACGTTGTGGTGCAGAAAGATATGAGAGGAGAAGCCGGAGAATGGACAAAACACGGTGGAGAAGTGGAGGAGGCTGTGTCTGATCTAGAGCTATCTATATTCTTCTTCTTGATTGATGAACTTTCCCATGAACTTGTATCTTCTCCTCCATGAACAACTAATGAAAAGTTTATTAGAGTAGGTTTCTAGACATTCTTGACTTGATAAACCGAACTAACCTCCATAACGTTAAACCTAGAATTATTTGATTTATTATCACTTAGAACGCTTACAAAAAAAAATGTCACAAAAGTTAACAACCCTCGTTTTGATTAGGACTACATGTATGTTTTTTATCTGATGTTTTAGCTAGTGTTGTAATTTATGTCTTGTAAATACAGAAAAAAACTTGGACTGACTTGTGTAACTGAACAACAATTTGTAATCTATTGTATCTACTAATGCTGTCAAGATGTTGGTATATGGTTTCAAACGCATGATCTGGTATGTTTGGTGTATGTGAGTTGTTGAAAGAATACTCTACGTGTTCCACCAAGTTCAAACCTAAAATACTGTTAAATCCCCAAGCAAACCGGATCATGCCTATCTAACTTTCATGCCTGATTAAAATACTCACATTGAAGGATCAAGAAATGGATCCACGTCTAAATAGCGTGTTCTTCACGAACGAATAAAGTTTAACCTGATACAAGTATACACATTTTTTTTCAACAAGCTATATGAATGATCACAACATCGTACATCAATATATATTTTTAAAATCACCGATATGTCCTATGCTTAAACTACCATCTAGCATAACTTGATGTTTACTTATTATATATGATCTCTTAGTCAAAACCATACCTATAAATTGATAAGTTGATTAATCTACGTTCTGTATATATTATGGTAGCTATCTATCGTTCAGATGTGATATTCACAGTCGGATAGGACCATAGTTGATTGACACTTGTGACACAACAGATACTTTCTAGCATACTAATTATACACCTTCTAGATTGATTACTTGAATATAATATGTAGGAAAAATATTTTTTCTCTTTAGAGCTATATGAGTCAAAGTAAAATAGTTAGAATCACTGCTAGTTTGTTCAAAGAAACTTCCGAGCAGCGAAAGATCATATATGATTGGACCAAGTCATGAAACACAACTGCTAATTAATCTTTCATTGAAAAATACACATCAAATTTTTAAATACTTGAAATAATGATGGACCAGCCTCCATTATGTGACGATCAACTGGACCACAAAAATAAAAATACCAATCACAGAGACTCTTTTAGTTCCAAAACTACCCCTTCAACACCTGTTTAATAGATCATTTTCATCAGTTCCCCACCAACAGAGAAATGGTTGACACGGCGGATCAAGCGCCTAATGTCTCCACACACGACGGAGGAGAAAATCTCCTCGAGATCCGCATTGAAAATATGCACAAGAAGCTAAAGGAGCCACCACGGTTACTCAGCTCAGCCGCTGGAAAGCCAACTTGCTCCATCTTCAGAGTCCCTCAGAGCATGATTGATTGCAACGGTAAATGCTATGAGCCACGAGTTGTCTCCATAGGACCCTACCACCGAGGCAAAACACAACTTCAAATGATGGAAGAACATAAATGGCATTACCTAGATTCTCTTCTCACTCGAACCAACCAAACAAAGTCCTTAACCCTAGAGGATTACATGAAGACCGTGAAGACCGTTGAGGAAGATGCAAGAGAGTGTTACTCGGAGACAAATTTACACATGAAGTCAGATGAGTTCAACGAGATGATGGTTCTTGATGGTTGTTTTATTCTTGAGCTGTTTCGCAAAGTTGGTCAACTTGTTCCTTTCCAACCTAACGATCCAATCGTGGCAATGGCTTGGGTGCTTCCTTTCTTCTACAGAGACTTTCTACGTATTGAGAATCAAATCCCTTTCTTCGTTCTTGAAACTTTGTTTCATCTCACAAGAGGTGATGATGAGAAAGAGACCAACGCTTCTTTACCATCTCTAGCGTTTGCGTTTTTCAACAACACCATGCATAGAACACACCAAGATCTCGCAAGATTCAATGACCTAAGAGCTAAGCACCTCCTTGACCTTGTTAGGTCAAGTTTCATCCCGGAGAGTGAGCTTCACGCACAATTGGTAATGTTCATTCTTGAACCAATAAAAAACTACATTGGATACAAATACTATATACTTCTTTGGATTATGAAATAATGTTAGTCTAGTGGGAAAAAGGAATATCGGATTTTAAAACTGTAAAAATACGGGTGTAATGGTTACAAAGTTAAAATCAAATTTACAAACTATTTTGTATTTGTGATTGCCATATTTGGTAAGGTATGACTAATCTACAGCTTCAAATGTTTCCATTTAATTTTAAAAACATAATATAACTCGATAATAACACAATTCTATTGGTTGATGAAACTAGATGTTAATCTACGGGGTGAACACAAGAATTACTCTTTAAAAAGGGGTTTAAAGAATCGTAAATAATTCATTTACATAATTACTATACAAATCCTAAAACATTTCTTTGCCTCAGCCTCAATCATTAAGTGTTCTTACTTTCTTTGTTTGTGATTCACAGGTGACTAATTCAGACAAGAAGAAGGTACCGTCCAACATCATCCAAAGCATCTCGAAGCTCCGGAGAGCTGGGATCAAGATCAAAGAGCTTAAAGACGCAGAGAGTTTCCTCGTTGTGAGATTCAGACACGGAGCGATCGAGATGCCTTGCATCACCGTCGACGACTTCATGAGCAGTTTCTTACAAAACTGCGTAGCTTACGAGCAATGCCACGTGGCGTGTTCAAAGCATTTCACCACGTACGCTACGTTACTAGACTGTCTGATGAACACTTACAAAGACGTTGAGTATCTATGCGACCAAAACATAATAGAGAATTATTTTGGAACAGAAGCAGAGGTTGCTAGTTTTGTGAATTGTCTAGGAAGAGACGTTGCGTTCGACATGGCGGAGTGTTATCTCAATGACTTGTTTAAAGATGTGAATGAGTATTACAAGAGTAGTTGGCACGTGGAATGGGCTAGTTTCAAGTACACTTATTTTAGTTCTCCTTGGTCTTTTGTCTCTGCTCTTGCTGCTTTTGTTCTTTTGGTCTTGTCTATTATTCAGACTATCTACACTATCTTCCAAGCTTATCAAAGATAAATTTCATTTCATTTATTGCAATTCAACTAATATGTTGGTCTATAATTGAATGGCACATGATACAATTTGTGATAATGTTTTATGTAGTATTATATTAGTGGAATCTAGTTAATAGTGTATTATTAAGTACAATCATTTGTTTGTTGGAAACCATATCATGTATCTATAGTGCTTGAGTAATTGTCTGGAGATGGATGATATAATATTTGTCCTAGAACATCGAATTAAGTTATTTAATCTAGATATTTATTAATGTAAAGAGTGAGTTGATGACAACTATTCTGAAAGTAATTAGATAGAAGGGTTTTATTTTAAAACAATACGAGATTGTTTGACAGTAGGAAATGGTCAATTTTGTTGATAATGTTAACGATACTCTTGGCTCTGTGGAGCAACTTATTCCACGTGACAGCTCATGATCAAAGTCTATAGTAAAATCGTTTGATCTTTGGTAAATTACCTAATTAACATAAAACCTATTTTTAATATAGTGAATATGAAAATTCTCTGGTCCATATATTTAAGAGCTTTTAACCACATGAAATACGATTTCAGAAATTATATCGTGATCATGTGTTAGTGTTACAGATTATATGTAATGTGAATTAACTAATGTAGATACATGATGTAAAAATATCTAAATTAATGCCTTTAAAAAAATATCTAAATTAAATTATTAATATAGATTTATAACAGCTGTAAATAGTAAATTCAATTCCAATATCTTTCAGATTTTTTGTAATCAATAATAAAGGTATTCTAAACAAATTAATATGGCATATGATATTCTTTTATTTCTTTCAAAGAAGATATAAATATTTTAAATGGTATTTATTTTTAAAATAGATATTAATTTGAACAAAAAGGAACGTGCTAAAGAGAAAAACAAAACCTACAAACGAGTAGTGAAGACTTTTACAGTTTCAACGTCTTTATTAGTACCTATGTTTGACATTTCATGTTGGCCAAGTCTCTCGAAGAGGACTCCTTCGTCGTTTTATTCTTCTATAAATCATGCCTTAAGCCCCAACTGCATATATAATCACATAAACACACAATCCAACATACATTTTAAACATCAATAACCAAACGAAACACCGATAATTTTTCCATCTATTTATTTCAAGATCATTGTTTTGTGTATCATTCTCGATTTACACGAACGCAATAATGAGCGACAAAGCAATGGTCTCTAAACTTAGCAGAGCAGCCAACATATCTGAGTTACAAGATCGTAAAGAGAAACAAGACATGATTCAAGATGACGAGCGTTCAAAGCTTGATAGCAGCGTTGATATGTACACGACACGCTCCCGAGGGGGCAGTCTAGTGGAGGATGTTGTGCAGAAGCTTGAGAGGTTCAAAGTACGTACTGTAAACGTCTTGGTGGGAGGAGAAGCTGATGAAAAGAAGAAATAAAAAGACGTACCAAAATATTGAATTCATTTATTTAATTGATTCTAACCAACAAAAGACTTTCCCTGTTGATTGCTTTTCATGTGCAAGGAATTCTTTTCAAACTTCAAGCCTATATAAGGCAGGGTCACAAATATTGTGAGCTACATGTGTTGTATTTTCAAAAGGCCTACATAGTTAAAATATGTTTAGACCTTTCGTACATGTATGTGTGTATTCACTATTGATCAATTTGTTCCATACATATCTCAAAAGCCAACATAGTTCAAATATATTTAGACGTTACCAAAACGAATAAAGGCTGTATATTGAAAGAAACAAAGATAATCCTATCCGATTACACGTTAATATTTGACCCAGCTCTTGTTCACGTGAAAATTGAAGTTTCCCAAAAGGAAGGAACAGCGAAGCATAAGAACCGTCACTCTGCTTTAACTCATAAAACATGTTGCCTCTCTCTTCTCTCCATTTGTTGTTAACTGAATCCGCTCTATGAGGACCATAACTACACAAAATGACTTATGGACATGCTGTATGATAAAACAATCTTTCCACTGAAATAAACAAAATAGTCATTGCTAAGGTAACATATATGGTCATTGGTTTGTTGCTTTGGATGTTCATGATAGGTAGCCTGACAAATCTGTGTTCATAAGAAACCTTGTGAAACATGAAGAAAGGCATATATAATCTGGAATGTGCAAATACTGGGAAGGCCTCTTTGCTCTTTTGTATTTTCTATAGAATGAAGAAAGTAGACAGTAATATATTTCTTCTTTTTTTTAAGATACTGCACATCTTTCTTTTTTCCTCAACTCGAAGCATGAAACTTTTCTACAAAACTAGCATCACGTGAAATCGACCAAACCTGTTTCCCCCTGTGATGCCCACCGCTTCCTCCAGCATAGTATTCTTTAGCCTTCATATGCAGGCTACTCAATCATTTCCTATCAGAATGGAAAACAAAGAAACACGTAAAGGTGGATTCATCCATGATTAAATAATGAAGTTTCAGATCAGAGAGCCTTAGAGATTGCCTATAGAACTAAACTACCTGTTTGATTGCATTACCAACTCCCAAGCCCGGTAAAGAGCTCTTGGTCAAACAAGCTGCATGGACGATCGGTCCATTGGCCTCACTCTCTTCCGGAGGAGTGGTAAGGTAAGAAGCTCCTTTGAACATCCATTGATCCATTTCTTGACTGAAATATTCCTCAAACACCTCTCCACATAATATACATGCGCACTGTTTCTCATCAGCAACTATGGCTGGACCATCCTCGTCTGCATTCTCGGGGTCACTCAGATCTTCCTCATATTCAGGTTCTAGCTCTCTAGATTTCGCTGCTATCCAGTCATCAGCCTTCGGAAACCAAACCCTACATTTACTGGCCGTGCCACTTAACTCGAGCTTCTTCTTATCGTGCAGCTCCTCCATGTGCCTGTCAAGTTCTTCCAGTTGCTTAAGGCGTACGCCACATGTGGTGCAGAGGTGTGGAAGGTCATCAAAGAGACTACTAATCACCGAGGGGTGAAGTTCACGGATTTTATCTGCTCTGAACTTCAATCCTATGAGGTTTTCAGGTTCCGTTTTTTCTGTTTCCACTGGTGCAACCTTCAGGTCAGTGGAAGGACCCTTCTTCACCAAAACCACTGGCTGAGCATCTGATGGAACCACAGACATAGAGCTACTGGTAGAATGATCAGGACTGTGGTCCTGTGAAACTGAAGGAGCCGCACATTGAGGGAGAGATGGCAGCTCCGGCTTTGAAGCAGATATCAAGCCCTTTGAAACTAAGGAGCTCAAGAGGGACGAAATAGGATCTGAGGCCTTACTATTCTCTTTTGATGTCTGTGCTGATTTGACACCAGTAAGAGACACTGCGCCAGCCACTGAAGTTGGCAAAGTCTTAAGCTTAGAGACTGCTGAGAGGGTTTGTGCCCTCGGGTCAACCTCGTTTTGACACATCTCCTTGTTTCCACCATTTGAAAGGATTCCACTCTTCATGACAGCTGCCAACAAATCATTCATGTTGGCTGGCCCTGGAGCATTATCAGCTGTTGACTTAGAGTCAAACTTTTCAACTTGGGATGCATCAGGTAGCTCAAGCGTATTTGTGTTTTTTAACTGGCTACTTGAAGATAACGGCCGTACGGAGTCACCTTTAGGTTTCGCTGGAAACCTGGAAGCCCTAGGATCACGTTGAGGGAGGGAATGAGCTCTTCCAAAATCTTGCTTGGTCACATTCTGTTTAGAAGCTGATACATGTAAAGGCGACTGTCTATCTGACACGGGTCCTAAGACTGGCAAAGTTCCAGGGCTAGCAATCCTAGATTGAGGCTGAATTCCCTTTCTAGCTGCATTGGAGGTTGCACTAACAGAAGGAAAAACTTCTGAATCATGCATAGATCTAGGAGAAGACGTCCAGGGGCCAAGAATACTTGGATCTTTTTGCTCGCTGGAATAAGAGTGTGTCGAATTCACCGGATCAAGCCTTGGGTCGATAGCTGAATACCTTGGTCGTTTCAAGAGGTGATTTTTAGATTCCTACAAGATAGGAAGAAGTTAAAAAAGACAGGAAACTAAATAAGTTACACCATAATAAAAAGAAATGTAAATTATTAACAGTGCTAACCAATCTTTCTGATTCATCTGAAGCCTGAAACTCAATCTTCGGGTTAATGGCGGCCACATCTGTTTCGGATACCCTTGAGTGCATATCCCACATAAACTCTTCTTCCTCAGAGTTTTTCCAACTATCATAAGGCACGCCTATATTTCTACTGGGACCACCTGATTCCGAGTTTTCTAGTCTCGCGGTAGCGTAGTTGGAAATTCTGCTTTTGGTGTGTAACCCTTCCCTCTGGCCAGAAGTCAGATCAGAACCCCTGCTCATAGCGTCGTACCATTGTTTTTCACTCCCATCATCAGTAACTCTTGGACCAACTTTCTTAAGCACTGGTCTAGAATTATGCGGTAGATCAGGAGCATAATCATATTCCTCTGCTATTGACTCGATATCTTTCTCGTAGAGGGGTTCACTGAGTGTGTCTCTTTGAGGTCGTCGAATGGTCTGGATTCAACATACAGTCAGAAAACAGAACTTTGTAAAAAAATGGTAAGCGTGTAACCATGTCAAGGAAAACTCAACTTACATTCACTTTAGCTTGACCTGCCCATGAGCCTCCAGATGCTATGCTTGAAGCTCTCTCCATCCTATCTGGATCCCTAGTCAAATTGGATGCGATCTCAGGGACATCGGTAACCATTACTTTAGTCTGCACATAACCCAAACAAGGTATCCAGGAAACATTAATGATGTTACTTTGGTTTTGTGGTCACCAATAAATTTCAGTGGCCGCAAGTTTAATATGCTTACCCGCCCTGACTGTTGGAGGCGTTGCCTTTCTAGATACTTGGGATTCACATGGATGCTATTTGGTGGTCGCTGAGGTTGCAGATCAGTTCTGCCTGTGGTAACAGCAGCTGCTGGGCCATCACTTTTAGCATTAAAGCCAAGTTCTTTCTCTATTTGCTGAAGTATTTGCGGATGAAAGACTCCTTTCCAGGTTCCAAAGAGATGCCGCATGTTAGAACGCATAGGAGGGTCAACTTGTCTGTAAGCCTTGACAAATACCTGCACAGAAGTGAAAAGAGAGAGATCAGATAAAGTTGCTAGGCAAAAGTAACCATATAACTATGACTACAAACAAAACGCCAACCTCAGGTAGCCTGGCAGCAAAGTACTTAATGTAATCCCTTCCAATGTTCTTCACAATGCTGTCCAAAAGGTACAATGTTGGCAGCTTCTGATCACTTGGAACCTGCATAATATTCCTCAAATCAGATACCCGGAAAATGGAAAATTTGATCTCATAGAGATTAACATCGAGGATTTCCACAATAGAGGGGATCCTAAAGGATAAGAACCAAATATCAATAACTTATCTTTAGCTAGAATTCAAAGCACAAAATATAATGCCATTCAAGCTACTACTAAAATGTATCCTGAAAAACAAGGAAGAAAAAGATGGGACACATGAAGCCACTAAACAATGCCATCGAAATCTACATGCCCCAAAATGGCAGAGAAACACTATTAGAAGTGTCAATGTCTAAGCCGAAGTGACAAACAGTGAAACAGTAATCCTTGTCTTCCCACAGGCTTGGCTGAACAGGCTCCAATGATTCTCGGCTACCCAAAAATGAAAAAAATGTTTCCGTTTCCTGGAGAGAGCTTTCCGTATGCAGAAGCCACTAACAGAAAATACAACCTCACTTCACACAGAGCTTACAGAGCTCTTGTCAAATAGCAAAGTAATGAAAAAAAATAACAATTGTACAACTCCAACGTTGTAAAAGAGACTACACACTCCTATACAAAAAAAACTCAGTACAATGACATGAGGAGCTGTTATATGCATTCTTGCAAAATGAATATGAACCAAACTGTTGCATGGGCAACAGCATATTTGATATAGTTAAAAAAACATAGTGTCGTAAAACAGAATCTTTTACAGAATCTGATCCAATAGATGGCATAAACTAAAAACTTTGATTCACAAGAATGATCTGTGACTTGATAAATACGTATAAAAAGCACATAGATTCCAGAAAAGACACTAGGGTTGATTTCAAAACTTGATTTTTATCTCATTAAACCTCGTATACAGATCACAATCTCAACCACCATCTTTACTATACAATGACACAAACATGGATTATAACAAGTAAACTAGATATTCACCTCGAGAATATTATTGCAAATGGTGGACACGACGGCCTTGGCAGCATGAACATTCTCTCCAGCAATTATCGTCAAATTCGTTATAATCGGCTTCGAATTAAACGTGAGTTCAGATAACGCCGACTTATACTGATTCACAAGCTCGTAATGTGGATGAACCAGTTGCGGCTCATACGCCTCACTACTACTCTCCGTTTCCCTCACACCACCACCACCAGCTGCTCGAAACCTTGACGGTGGAGCTCCCACCGCCGTCCTCTGCGACGATAATAACTGCTGCCGAGCGTTGGAATTCACGGGACGGATTGGTTCATCGCTGAGCCTAGGTTTCTTAATTGGCCCTGGATCTCTGGATCTATCAAACGGTCTACGCGAATTATCCATCTTAAGGTCTATATATGAATACACGAATCGAAAGAAACTCGAAATTTCCCTAATTCAAACCTAATCGATCGCGAGCATTACATCAATCAGTAGTTTGAAATACAAATCAATAGAGAGAAAAAAAAACCTAAGTTACAATCTATAGATGAGACGCGAATCTCCGGGGGAGAAGGAGAAGAAGATAAGAGAGCTTCGGATTCGGCAAAAATGGCAGAGATGTGGACTAGCTCCGATCAATTAGGGTTTGTGAATTGGGGATTTTAAAGAGACGAGAGCAGAAGCTAAGTTCGGAGCTATTAGGCCCATTTAATGGCCCATTATGGAGAGAGTTGATCTTAAATTATTTTGTCCGGTTAAACCATCTTAACCGATTATTTTGGTTCGGGTAAACCAGTAATACAAATAAAACAAATGATTTGTCTCTAGCGAGTCAAGAAATGATTCAAATCTACTTGGGAGAGAATTAAGCTACCTACTAGTCTGGTTCTTGAGACTTTTAGTATTTAATACAAACAAAGACACACTAACATGGAGGTTTAAAGACCCGTTACAACTCTACGTTTTATGTTATATATTATACATTGGCTTGTTGGTAAACCATAAGCCGAGTTTGTTTCCTTCTACCTATGCATCATCCTGAACACCCTGTGCCTTCATTTTGCTTTTTGGGAAGTGCAGTCTCGCAATCAAAGGCCTTGGTGCTCTTGTCTTCCTCTCAAATCCTCTCACACATACATACCCTACATGTATTAACGATAAGTTAAGTGAGATCTGATCTATATTTACTTGTTTGAGAGTTCTCTATATAAACTAGCTAATAGTTAAGCAAAATGTAATGCATTACCTCTCCAGAAACATTGTTGAATTGTTTCTGTAGTTAAACCTGAAACAAAATAGCTCAAGAAGTTAGAATATTGTTACATTAGGATCTAATCATGGTGAAGAAGAGATCAATATACCTTTAAATATAGTTGGGATAGATGTGCCAAAGTACACAGTTCTTCTAGCTAGGTTCCATAACAATTCTCTTGGAACATCAATTGGCGTTAGACTAGACTCATGATCCGCAAACACCTATATCAATGGAAATTTCAGTGCATATAAACATATGAAAAAATTGGATGTTGAGTTTAAGTGGTACCTCGTTGACTTGGAAATATGTCCCGTTAAGTGGGAAGCTACCTCTCATTGCTGTTCTACAAGGTATCTGCATGAATTCACATCATATCATTTGACATTATTCGTCAGAACATGTAGTAGTTGTAGGCAAAAGATTTGGATGCAATTGCTTACCAAGATGGTCCCTCTAACAGTTTGTGATTGCGTCTCCCTAATGTTGTTGCATGAGAAACAAGTTGGCTCATCACACATTTTGCCCGCTTCTTGCCAAATGCATTTGCTTCTAGTTGGTTGAATAGAATCAACCGTTTCACCTAATTTAAAAAAACACAGTGATTAATGAAATTGATCCAACTAATTGATTAAATCTTTGATAATCCATATAGATTACCTGGCGTCCATATAGCAAGCAAATACGAACATGGATCATCAGTTTCTCGCTTCTCAAACTGCCAAAGCAAAACACAAACATTTAGTTAGATTTTCATTATTGACATCACTACATACTATGTAGATGCCAAACACCAATTATGAGTTGTATTTTCAACTAAGATAGAAATATGTATAACATATCTCATATCTGACATACCTCAGCTAGAAGAGAATGGCCATCTGGGAGTTCATAGCTGCAAACATATGAAACAAAACAGAGTAACTGTTAGAAAAGTCAAGTTTAACAACACTATCAAATCTTAGCATTTAAATGCTTAGTCTTAGTCTGCCACTTAATGATGAGAGATGTGTTTCCTGTTTCATTTCAACCTTAGGACACGGCTAATAACAGAAAAGAGTTGACACTTACACTTGGTGTTCTGTCCTCAGCTGACTAATGTTCTTGAGCTTAGGCATTGGGAGAGATGCAGCCTCAGCGGTAAGCGCAACCAGAGCGCTAGACATGTTTCCTTCTTGTAGTTCCTTGCTGTGTTCAAAAATCTTCTTCAAGTTATTTGTAAATGCATCCATGTTCAGTCTTATTGTTGGAATCTCTTCAGGATCTTCAAAGAAAGCATCCTCTATGTCAGCTAATGATACTTCTTCACACTCTGGCTCTGGTGATGCTGGCACTTCAATTATCGGTTCACAACTTGTCACCTTGAATGCTGCTTCTGAGTGGTTGACTACTTCTAACCCCTGCTGTCTCCGCAATGGCTCTGGCAGGCTCTGTAGAGGCATATTAGGTGTCTCCATTCCTTTCTCTGAACCGGGTAAAGCCAACCTCGCACTATAAAACAAGTAAGGTTACTCAATAAAACGTACCAATTCAGAGCTACTTAATAGACTGTCCACGTCTATTTACTGAATGAGATAAAGTATAATAAAGAGTTCTGGTTGAAGGGAAAGTGTAGTATCAGTATCACCTGGCAAATGCACTAGCAAAGTGTCTACATTCTCCTCTCATCGGACAAGCATTGCAATTGGGTTTGCTCTTTGTACAGAACACCTAAGAGTCAAGTAGATCAGAAACTTAATCACGTGTTCTGTCTGTTTTTTCACACATAGATATGTGTCTATATTATACATACCTTTCCAAAAGTAATCATTTGGTAATGCAGTTCATACCTGAAAGATAATGAATAAGTTATTTGAATGAACAATAACAAAATCTAAGGTAATGATGAGAGATCTTACAATGTTTTTTGGTCGAATTTGCATAAACGTGGCCAAAGATACTTCTGTATAGACTCAAGCACAGGATACCTGCATAAAGATGTATCAGCGAAAATTAAAATAACAAGTCCAACTAGAACCATTTTGTAGAGTGCTTACATTTCTAGAAGATGGAGTTGAAGGGACTCAGGTAGCGGTTGAAGGGGTACCCATCCGAGTCTAACTGCTATGCGTCCAACATTGGTATCAACCTGTCAATAAGTTCATACATCATATAATTCACTTGACAGGAACGACAAAAAAAGAAAAAGAAAAGAGATGATGATTCAAGCTTACAGGAAAAGCAAGGTGATGCAGGGTTAGAAGCCTAACACACTCCACACTTTTTAGGCCTAATCCATTGAAGCTCAGAAGATACTCTCTGCATGTTTTTATATTTGATGAGAAACTACCTATGCAATATTAAATCATTGACGCTTAACACTTTTATTTCAAACTCACTTTGCTTTGTCAGGTGGAACGTCTCTTAACCATTCGAGATCAAGACTCCCATGCTCTGTAAGCAGTCGATTAAGGAAGCCCTGCATTATTTTCATGTTCAACCTCAAATAGTTAATATGTAGATTATCAATACACTTGGCGATGTTAGTGATAAAATGTACCTGTATACGTTCAGCAAGTTTATGGTTCATCCCACGGCTCTTAATGGTTTCAGCTACTTCATCAACATCTGCTGTTCTTATGGCCTCCCAGTCCACAGAGTCCAGTGTCCTTGCTGTTTTCTCTCTTTTGCCTTCTCTGCCTTGCGCTTCTCTTCTTAAACCGTCCCAATCAAACCCCTCTTTTACCTCCTTTAAAACCTTTTTCCCACTTGCATTGAAAGTAGCCTTATCCTTAGGATTGAGCTCTTTGGATAGTAGTGAGTCAGGTCCTGTTTGTTTCTCTGTACCTTCTTGGACATCAAGACAGGTTGTGCTTTCATTAATATCTGGAATTGATGTTTCTATCACCGGTCTTGTGGAATGACCGCTGCTAGAGCTTTCAGGTATGTCTGGTTTCTGAACACTCAACACATCCCCAAAGAAACAACATGGTTCATCATCAGAACACTTTGTTTTCCCTTTCAGTGATTTGAGGTCTTTAACCTCTGAGCTACAGTCACCAGGAGACGTGTTTGGGGTGCTTGAAACCCCAACTTCTTGCCTTGAACACTGATTAGCCTCTTCGACTGAGACAGTATCAGCTGTGGTAACGCCTTTTCCTTTCCCTTGTAGCTGAATAGACCCCTGCGACTCTAGGAGCTTCACATATGATGTATTATGCTCTGCTTCTGAGTTGATCTCAAAGCTTGATCCTGCCCTCTCTGTCTTTTGAGGAGTATCAAAAACCAACGAGTTCTGACATGTAAGTACAGAATCTTCAGATGGAAACAGCTCTTGGACAATGAACGTCTGAACTGTCTTGTTAACTTCTACGCTTGAAGCAGTTCTGTCTGAATCCACCTGCGCCTTTGAATCCATAGTCTTGACAACTGATTCATTCCCTGAGCTGGCAATCTCACTGCTGCTCCTTGAGGTGTCATTGCTGTTTACATAATCCTCCTTTTCCTCATCATGCTGTGTGATGTTTACAGTAGCAGAAATCTCATTATGAACTTGTGGGTTTGAGACTGGTTCATCTGAGTCCAAGTAAGTTATCCGGATAGAAGGCATGGAGCTTGATCCCACTTCAAAGTCACTGCTGGGTACTACTGGTGCAGGATATTCCGAAGCTAGTGACATGAACGCAGAGCTAGAGAGAAGAAACAAAAGAACAGAACAGAAGTTAGTTTTGCTTTCTTTCTTGTCTTGGATTAGTATAAACACAGAATCAATGTAAGAACGTATACCTTGAGAGATGGTCAGAAACGTTTTGAGTGAGAAACACTCCAACCACGGAATCAACAACTGAACCTTTCCATGGAGTAAAACGCCTATCCCCTGTTAAGACCATAACAACAATTTTTAACTAAGACATACAAGTTACAGACCAAATACTAGTAAGAAAACATGTGTTGTATGTTACCTTGTACAAGATGCATTCGTGCTATAAATGAGTCTGCTCTTCCTCTAAACACATTACGTTCTTCCTCCCACCATTTAGCCTTCTTCTCGTCTGATCCGTTAACACCTTCGCTATCAATATTATCCATCAGAAGCTTCCAGACTCTATCTGTCTCAGTATCTATATGAACCTTTGCTCGGTCACGCCGTGGTTTTTTAACACGAGTTGAAGGCACAATTGCTCCAGGGCCACCGTTGTAGATTGCAACCTGGTTTCCTATGCTGTAACTGCTGTTGTTCATTGCATAAGGAACAACAGCAGTTTCTGAGTACTCTCTGTTGATGTCTAGTAGACGCATTAGCTCACTGATTGCTTCAACAGAGTAACGTTGTCTCCAAATATCATCTGGAGATAGCCCTGCTGTAAAGATACATCAACATTGTCAATTTAAAGATTCAAGAAAGAGAGTTAAAATCACACTTTGTGTATGTATGTATTCATTACCAGCACATGAAGGTAGAAACTGGGGATGCTTAGGGAGAATAGTGAGCAGATTGTTCTGTGATTTCTGAGAGTTAGTGGGTCTCTTCTTTCTGCTCGAAGCCACCGGCCTCTTAGCAAGAACTTGTGTAGCTTTGTTTATGGAAGATGAATCCCGGAACCGAGCATGGCCTGTAGTTCTCTTCTTTGTTGGGGTGTCTATCTTATCCAAGCAAGCAGTAGACTCAAAAATCTGACTTCCTTGAAAGGTTAGGACTCCACTAGCACTGGCCTCAGAATCGAAAATGTAGCAGCTTGACTCTTGTGCAACAAGTTGTTGTCCAGCGTATGATGTGTTTGTAATGGCTTGAGACCACCAAAGCTCTTCATTGTACCCAAACGCCTGCGCTTCATTGTACTCAAACACCTGCTCGTATTGTTTCCCACAGAAATATATATCACTAGTTGGTTCTTTTCCTTGTCTCCTCTTTGTGACTTGTGCCTCATTAATCTTCTTCACAGGTTCCTTTCCCATTCTTCTGTTTTGGCTACTACGCTTTCTCTTAGGAGTGCTAGGCACTGCCATATGACAATCTTCTATGTCTTGATCCTGCTTTTCTCCATTGGCTGATCCCTTCTCATCTCTGTTTTCAGGTTTGAGACTCTCATCCTCAAAGTCCAAGGCTCTTCTACAAGGCTTCTTGGTATGACTTGTAGCCTCTTCAGTTGCTGCTGATTCTTCAACTGGTGTGTACTCTTGATCCTCACCAACTTCTTTTTTCTTCCTCACATACTTCCTCTTGGGAGTTTTGGTTTCTTCACCCACAACAATAGGCTTATTTGGAGCTTTGGGTTTAGGATTGTTTTTCGGTTTCACTTCTCTAACAACCTTTGGCCTATGCTTCTTCCTCTTTGGCTTCTCAGGAGTCTTGATAACATGTTCTGCAAAAACGACAAAATCATTAGATGATTATAACACTGCTTCATCTCTAATCAAAGCTCTCTCTTCTTACCTTTATCAATCCCAGTCTGTCCTGAGAAATACACTGATGAAGCAGTGTTGGCCAAAGCCAGCAAATCTAGACAAGACAAATGGTCAAGACCACTCTTGTCTTTGTTCCCAGAGAATCTCCTGCATGCAAACACTCCCTTTAGCAAATTACACAACACTAAAGTTTCTAAATTTAGGACAAAAGACTTTACCTTTCCTCTGTCTGAGTCTGATCTGGGTAGATCGGAGTAATTGGCTTGATGGGTGTCTGAGGAACCCATGTAGCTTCCTCTCTCACTTGTTTATCCATTTATCTAACTTCAGTTCTGTCTCTTTTACACAACTTGTTCCATCAACGAAAGCTTAAAACTTGTAAAGTTTCTATTTTTACCTGCAAAAAAAAAAAAAATTAAAAGAGGTTGAAAATTTCTATAAAGAGTCTGAAACGTTTAGATCCAATTTTTTCTGTTGGGGGTTTAGAGAGATCTCCGGGAGTCATTGATTTTAGGTGAGTTAGGTTGAAGAAGACTTTTCATTTCACAACAAATTGATGAAAATGCACAAACAAGAATAAAAAGGACACAAAAACATAAATAATCAAAGTATGAAGATTATTTACCTGTGGATTCAATGGTTGAGATCAAAGTGATAAGAAGCTCTGAGAGGATAAGAACACACCGTTTCTCTTGGTAATGACGAAGTTGAGTGATCTAGAGACGAGTTATATAGAAAAAAGCTAAAAGCATTTTTGGACTTTAACTTATGAAGGAGCAGAGGAGATTGTGATGATCGTGATTTATGTCTTTGTATTTTTTATATATACGTTAGTTAGTTCGAGCGCGAGAAACCGTTTGATTGGCGGGAAAAGTTTTTAAATTAATGTTTGAAACACGTCTTTCTTAGTCTCCTGGACTATTGGAAAGATGATTTGAAGTAATAATAATATATTCTTCAACTTGTTCATTTGTTCTCTGTCTCTTTACTTTTCTCTCTTTTTTCTTCTTCTTCTTTGCAAATGAATAGTCTAATCTTTTCATCAACAAAATAAAAAATGTATAAATATATGTTACATTGTTTATGAAATATTTCATTTTCTTTAGATTTATTTTATATTGGTGGAGTTTTACTAGTATTTGAATTCAGATGAAGTTTTGATCATATACTAATTTATCAACTTTTTAATAGATGAAGATATAATATTTCTAAGTCATGTTATGATCTACTGTCTTTAAAAATTGTTGTAATTTATCCTTTTTAATAGATGAAGATATAATATTTTCTAAGTCATGTTATGCTCTACTGTCTTTAAAAATTGTTATAATTTATCAACTTTTTAATAGATGAAGATATAATATTTTCTAAGTCATGTTATGTTCTACTGTCTTTAAAAATTGTTGTGTAGACAAAATAAGAAGGTCGACTTCATGCATCACATGTAAGAGTATATGCTCTTGTGTTCTGAAGTTTTCAGTACATACTTGAGCTGTAAGTTTACAAAACTATCATGGAGCCTTTTGAACTTTTTATATATAAACTGTAAAAACATACCACTCTTATGATTCAGAAACCATTTTCACCAAACTAAATTCATATACTATAAATAGCATTTATTCGATTGATTTGATATTTCTAAATCCCAACAACATTTTATGTTTCAGTTTAATTCGATCTTAATTGGCTCACTTTTATTGGACTGAACATTCCACCTCCACTAGTTTAATCTTCGTTGAGTATCATCTAATACTCCTTTTTATAATACTGTGATTATTAGGCTATAATTTTCCAACAATATGGGAACATGTTCCAGGATAATAAGTAGGCTCCATCCTATGTATTTAACCACAAAAAAAAAAATAGTCCATGAACTTTAAGACATGACCAAATTTGAAACGATTAAACGTTTATATAAATTTTGGCGCCTAAAATTAGTACGTGAACTTTAAGTCATGACCAAACAACCAGTCTTGTCATAAGACTTAAATACCGACTATTAGATTTTTGACCGTTTTCAATCTATTTTTCTTATATTTTATAATTAAATTATTTTACATTTAAAATGAAAACTATTCTGATATATTTTGTAGAATATTAATCTCCAAAATACAGAATAAAATAGAGGGATGCTATTTTTAATATATAGAAGAAAAAAGTATTCTATATAACAAAAGATGAGTTAGAATAAGTTTGTCTACAAATGGTATTATATAAATAAATATCGAATTGTGTCAGAAATACTTTGAGTAGTCGGGACATCCAACTCATTTAGTTATTTTGGTTTGTTGATTAATTTAGTTTAAGAAATATCTTACCTAATAAAATCGAATCTATACAAAAAAAAAGAATTGTGTGAACTATTTATGTACTAGAAGCAAGAAGTGTTATATGCAACTATATAAATTATCAATAATACAGTTAGCTTACATCATAATTTTTCATTTAGTATAGTAACATGGTTTATCAACTTTTACAAAATTGGATATTTAAGTTGACACCTAAAGAGCGCAACTTAAAGACAAAATTAGTTAACAATGTTATTTTTGCTATTCTATTTATCACTATATTTTCTTTTGGATGAAAATGGTTTAAACCCTTCTGTAATATATATACATTTTGACGTTTTTGAACATATGGTTTAAGTTGGGTCATTTTTGGTGTCTTTAAATGATTTTAGTATCTTTTAGAATATGTTTCATATACTATTTTCTGAAAGCTAAACCATGTTATTATAAGTATAACTCACTTCAATGCATCCGCTTCTATTTCCAGCACTTCCTCATCTTAGAATAATTATAACTCATACTTACAATATTTTGCTTATGATTCTTCAAAACCAATTTTAATCTGATCTAGTTATTTGTTATATGTCATATGCCATCAACATTGTATTTAAACCAATCAGGTGGTGGTGATTTGGTAATAATAAAATTTTGAAATCTTATTTGAGTGGGATAAAATCCTTTGATATTTATTGTTTCCTCATCAGTAACCAATACCAACTTACTCTACGTGACTGTGAACACGTGAACATCATGTGATTGGTGAAAATGGCAAATTCGTAGGTTGGGATAAACTAAAATATGAAAGATGTCTACACAGATATGACTGTTGCTGAATTGCTGGAATGTGGAGTACACCACACAAGTGGTTGATTAGAACATGTGAACTGTGCAATTTTTTGTATCACATTTTTATGTTTTTTGGTTTATGGTCATAAGAACTTGACAATGTTTGGTCATGTACTGAATGGAATAAGCAAAGACCGAACAGCTCACTTGCGACTTCATCATAATTAACAGTCATACATATTTAGGGGCAGACGTAGATGTTCGATATGGGTTCACGTACCCGCTACTGATTTTCGTTTTTTTCTTAAATAAGTTATTTAGTTTGATTACATTATTCTTAGTTTAGTGAATAAGTAACAAAAATGTCTCCAACTCGCATTTTTGTTATTTTTAGTGTTGTGCCGCCAATTAAAAACCTTTCTAGATCCGGTCACTGGACATAATACACAGAAATATTTTCACATTTAAATTGTTTTGGGTAAATTTCTAAACTTCGTCCTATTATAAATAACAAAAAGATGCATAAAATACATAAACTAAAAATCCTATAATTTCTCACGAGGTCCCTCTTCGTGTGGTAACCGTCGGTGGCAGGCATCACGTTTTACGCACTGTGTGAGACGTGGACCCAAATGCTCCTCAAAGGCCTCATCTACTCTCTAAGATTCTTTGTTCTATTTACATTTTGTATCACATTCATTTGACTCGCTTATTAAACTATGAATCACCATGGAAAAAAGTACTCAAAAGGAAAATAAATAATGCATTAAATTTTAGGGGATTCGGGACTTCAATTCTCACCCTACTCTTATCCTCTTGGGCGGCACTGGTTAATGGATCTTCTCAGCCACAAAAATATGCACTAGGTTTCTTTAGAAAATGTAACGCTAGTTATTAAATATTGTGATGTCACAAGTTTTGTTTTTGCTGTCAATAGGATATGATCCAAATCAACATGGGGAAACTTAATCAATGAAAGAAAGACCATAGTGATTTTCTTACTTCTCTCATGCAAACTAAGGCAGTGCCAAGTGGAAGCCAAATGCCATCTTCCTTTGCTTAGAGCTCAAGGTCACGGGGAACATGAACAACACTACACAAAGTATATAAAATGCTTAATTTACTAGTGCATGCCTTTTTCAAACGTACTTTTCCCCATGTCTTGAATCATAACATTCATAAACCACCGCTCACTTTCATCCTAAAACATCACTTACTGAATGATTCAAGTAAACCACCCATAAAAAAAATCGCAAAGGGTCACCAGTTAGAATTTTAATTAGTTCTATATATGTATGTATTTTAATATTTTTTGGATAAATGTATTTGTACTAATTAATTTGAGGTGGATGATGAATTTTCTAACATTATGAATATACAAACTCTAATCAATTTTTAGCGACATACTAAGGTTTGCATACTTTAACTATTTATTATTAGGCGAGTGAAGCAATGTTTGGCCCGGACAAGTGACAACACTAATCAAAGTTTTATATTGCCTACAAAATTAATAAGTTTAACCGCTTAAACTCGTTATATACAGTCTGGCTTATCACACAACATTATTAAGTTAAAAACAAAGTGATACACTTGAAATTCGAGTTTGGTATAATATTCACAAGTACAATTACAACTAGCAAGCACGTGCACGACCCACTCGTGGTAGGGCATAACTTCTATGTATGCTGGCATAAAAAGTATCATACGCGTAACACGTCGGCAGTATTACGTACATTGACATTGCAACTTCTGGACGTTAATCATGTAACTAAGAAAAATCATTCGTAACCAACCTTAGTACTGAGCCAAAAAACAACATTGTTATGTAAGTTTTTGTATATAATTTACTAATCGAAGGGAGAAAAAAATATACGTTTGATATTCTATACACTAGCACAAGGACTAAAAGATGAAGCAGGTGAGTTTTTTCACATTCTTAAATAAAAATGGTTAAGGTACTAACATAATATTTATATAATATATAGCATTGTCAAATCTTAACTAAATTGATTATAGCTAGATGAAATGTCAAAAATAAAAGTCATAAAATGTTGGGTTTAAGAAGTGACATAACAAAGGCTGGGTGTTAGAAAAAAAAAGGCTGGGTGTTAATGTTTCATAAATATATAATTATTTTTTTGACAAAAAGTGTTTCATATATATTAATATCATAAAATGTTGGTGCTTTAAATGACTACACATATGCATTACATTAAGCTTTGTTCATTACTTTTAATTCACTTATCATTCTTAGAATTTAAAACCATCATAATTTTTCATTTACTTATTATTATTTATTAATTATTATTTTGTACGAAATCCATAATAATAAAATATATGATCATATCCTTTTCTTTTTAAAACTCAAATTTTATCCTATAAAATCGAATTAATTCTCAGATAAATCAAGGCACCAAAAATCTATCTACTAATGACACCAACTGGAACGTTCTTATTAAAAATCACATTAAAAAAAAAATTCACAAAATTTAATAATGCACTAATTACACCAAATAGAATGTTCTTATTAGCATGGCTTAATTAGCAATAATAAAAGAATGATTGTATTTCATCTTCTTATTTTTTTTTGGGGTGAGTGGCAACACCACCACCACGCACCACCAGACACGTCGTTGTTAAGGAAAATAGAAAACCTCTAAAAGGAGAAAAAACAACAACCAACAAAGATCAATCCATATTTCTGGAAATCCAACCTCTATGAGTTTTTGTCTTCTTAAGATCAAACATATCAATTCAACATTTTCAAGTTCTTCACCAACATTCTTAATCGCCGGTCAGTATCTTCATCTAGGTTTTCGATTCCATCTCATAGGTTAGAATATTCTCACATTCATGTTAATCTGCATTAATTTGTCTTAATGTCCAAAATCTAACACAATATATAAGGATATACATTCCTTTGTTGTCTTGTCATTCTCATTGAAAATGTATTCCAAATTGTTTGATTATTGTATATAGATTATGATTCATGTGTATGTTTGCATATCTTCTTGTGTTTATTATTGTATGTTTTTGTAGATTAATGGCTAATTAAAAGGATCATATACTCATAAACATGACTTCATCTGGGAGGAGAAGCATAAGAAGAGGCTCATCATCTTCCAAGAAACCGGTTCTCCAATCCCAAGAAAGCGGAAACAATAGCTTTAACGAAACCACATTTCCTAAACCCGGTTCACCCCACCCCGAACCGGTCTCCGACATCGAGCGAACCGTCAAGAAGCTACGTTTATCCAAAGCCCTAACCATCCCCGAAGGAACAACCGTCTTCGACGCATGTCGAAGAATGGCTTCACGCCGCGTCGACGCGGTCCTCCTCACCGACACAAGCGCTCTTCTCTCAGGCATCGTCACAGACAAGGACATAGCAACGAGAGTGATCGCAGAAGGGTTGAGACCAGAACACACTCTTGTCTCCAAAGTCATGACAAGAAACCCTATCTTCGTAACATCAGACTCATTAGCCATCCAAGCTCTAGAGAAGATGGTTCAAGGCAAGTTCCGACACTTACCAGTAGTGGAAAACGGTGAAGTCATCGCTATTTTAGACATAACAAAATGTCTCTACGACGCAATCTCACGCATGGAGAAAGCAGCAGAGCAAGGAAGCGCCTTAGCCGCTGCTTATCCATTCATCGAAACATTAAGAGACCATATGTTCAAACCAGCGTTATCCACAATCATTACAGAACACTCAAAGGTCGCACTCGTCTCTCCTTCGGATCCCGTCTTCGTAGCTTCCAAGAAAATGCGTGACCTAAGGGTTAACTCAGTGATCATTTCCGTGGGGAACAAGATACTCGGAATACTAACTTCAAAAGACATTTTAATGAGAGTCGTCGCACAGAATCTCTCACCTGAGCTTACACTCGTCGAGAAAGTAATGACGCCAAGCCCCGAATGCGCGTCGATGGAGACAACAATCGTCGACGCGTTACACATCATGCACGACGGTAAGTTTCTACACCTTCCGGTTCTAGACAAAGACGGATACGCAGCGGCTTGTGTCGACGTGTTGCAGATAACACACGCGGCTATCTCCACCGTTGAGAACAGTTCAGGAGCTGTTAATGACATGATGCAGAAGTTTTGGGACTCTGCTCTCACGTTGGAGCAGCATCCACCAGAGGATTACGAGACGCATAGCGATATGTCGGCTACGTTGTTGAACTCGGAGGATACGGGGAAGTTGCAGTCTCAAGGGAGTGTTGTGAGTTTGTTTGCGTTTAAGTTTGAAGATCGGAATGGGAGAGTGCATAGGTTTAACGCGACGGGTGAGAGTTTTGAGGAGGTGATGAGTGGTGTGATGGAAGGGTGTGGTGAGGTGGTTGATTCAGGGGTTGTTGTGCAGATTATGTATGAAGATGATGAAGGTGATAGGGTTTTGATAAGTGGGGATGGTGATGTTGTTGCTGCTGTTGGGTTTGCTAGGTCTTTGGGGCAAAAGGTTTTGAAGTTGTATTTGGATTTTGGTGAGACGGTGTGTGTTGATCAGATGGTTAGAGATTTGTCTGAAGGGAGTTTTGGTGGAGGTGGGAGTTTGGTTGGGTGGAAGGGTGGTGTTGTGGCTGGGGTTATTGTCTTGACGAGTATAGGTGTTCTTGTTTACTTGAAACGTTCTAAGTGATTTATAATATGTTACATGTTACTTGTTTTTCTTTTTGAAATTTTGGTGAGATTTAACATTCATTGTAAAGTAATTATAAAACTTGTTACAAGATTATGATATTACTAGTGTTGATATTTATTTCATTTTCTTCTATATACACGATCATCATTGTTCTTTTTCATCGTTAAAATTCTTGGTGTTCTTTTTTTTTTTTGGACAACAAAATCTTTGGTGTTCAATGCTTTCATGAAAGCACTGCAGGAGTTCAAAAAAAAAAAAAAGAACAGATGCAGGCTGTGGGGTTCGAACCCACGCGCACTTATGTGCAGAAGAACTTAAGTCTTCCCCCTTAACCACTCGGGCAAACCTGCTGTTGTTAGATGTTGCATTTATGTTTTAATAGACTAATAGTATTCCACAATCAAATTCAAGAATTTGTTGGTTAAGGTTATGTGAACGATATGACCGGTAAAGAGGAACGATTCTGATAGCAAATAATTTATCTTTATCTTTGATCTAATTTGGTTTGTGTTTCTCTAGTCATCTGCACAGAGAGGAACACATCCGAACTTAAGGTTATAGAAGAAAAACGCACATACACTAACAGACTCGGAGATACAACTATAAGTTTATAATATGAACGAAATGATTGAACTCCAACCCGATGCATCAAACCACAAATCAAATCTGTAGAACCAAATTTACTCACGAAACTCCATGTATTGTCCACTGGTTATCATTAGTATCAGGCTGGTTATCATTAGTATCAGGCAGGAGAAAGTAAGAGCAAAGCCGAAATCATCATATTATAAAAGAAAAGCTACTGTACTCCATAGAGGCAGAGCTAGCTCAGGTTTTTCTCTTACAAAAAGTAAAGCAACTTCCTCCCCAAAAAGGGTTCAAACAAGAAACAAAAGAAACCAACAAAGAGAAAAAAACAAACGTAATGTTTTATTTAAGCAGAATGAGGAAACACAACTCTGATCGTCTTCTTGTCGTCATAAAGAAGAGACGACTCTTTGCTTCTAGACAGCTGCACCACTTCTAGTAGGGCTCCACAGGTTTGCGGAAGTTAGCTCCAGCGTAAACTGCCTCTGATCCCAACTCCTCCTCAATACGCAAAAGCTGTTAATATTTACAGCAAAGCAACAAAACAGATTAGTCAGTTGAAGTCCACTATGTTCTTGATTCTTGTTAAGATCATTTTGGTTTTAGGGATGTTTTCACCTGGTTGTACTTGGCAAGACGCTCGGATCTGCAAGGAGCTCCTGTCTTGATTTGTCCCTGGAAATAGACAAAGATGGAGATAACCAAATGAGAATCACAAAACAATGAATAGTTTGTTACTAGGGAATTTGGGTTTTAAATGGATTTAAAACTTACAGTAGACAAGCCAACAGATAGGTCAGCAATGAAAGTGTCCTCAGTTTCACCACTTCTGTGGCTGGCCATCACTCCCCATCCTGCTCTCTTCGACATCTTCACTGCCTCAATACTCTCTGTCACTGACCCGATTTGGTTAACCTGTTGGCCAAAGATTTAGTCAGTACTTGTCGAAAGAAAATAATCTGAATTATAAGATTATAATCTGGGTTGGTAAAATACCTTCAAGAGAAGAGCATTGCAAGACTTTTCTGCGATTGCCTTTGCAACCCTCTGGAATAAGAGAAACAAAGATATAAGCACTTTGAGAGAAAAATAATCTTAAGGAAAACAGACAGAAACTGGTAAGAGCATCGGGTTATGTCACAAACCTTGGGGTTGGTGACCAACAAATCATCACCAACAATCTGAACATTGTCTCCACACTCGGTGGTCATCTTAGCATAGTGCTCCCAGTCATCTTGGTCAAAAGGGTCCTCAATAGACACAATTGGGTACTCAGCAACAAAGGACTTGTAGAGGTCCTTGAGTGCATCTCCAGAAATCTTCTGAGAGCCATTGTTGTTCTGCAGAGAAACAAACCGAGAAGGATTGAGAAGTTAGGATCGATCTAGCGTTTTATACTGAAGAAGCAATTACTAAGGGAATAGAAGTTCCACCTCTTCTTTGAAGTTCAAGTCATAGGTCTTGTCTGATGAGTAGAACTCAGAAGCCGCAACATCCATTCCGATGACGACCTTGCCAGTGTAGCCAGCCTTCTCAATAGCAGTCTTGAGCAATTCAAGACCTTCCTTGTTCTCCTGAATGTTTGGTGCAAAGCCACCTTCATCACCAACGTTTGTGGCATCCTGGCCATACTTCTTCTTAATCACAGACTGAGAAAATCAGAACAAGACATGTTAGTTCACGGGAACTATTTGAAGTTACAGCAACTGTAATAGGAACACATAGTTTGCATATCAATTATGAGTGCGTCTCAGAGACGACAAAGAACTGAGGTCTACCTTCAAGTTGTGGTAAACTTCAACACCCATTTTCATGGCTTCTTTGAAAGATGAAGCTCCAATAGGGAGAATCATAAACTCCTGCAAACATCAATAGACAGTCAGAAATATTCAACAGTGAAAAGAAGCTTGATACTTGACATGTCAATTAAAAAAAAATCAAAATGAACATACCTGCATAGCGAGCTTGTTCCCGGCGTGTGATCCACCATTGATGACGTTGAAGGCAGGAACAGGTAGCACAATCTTAGGGTTACCAGCAAGATTGGCAATGTGCTGCACCCAAATACCACACAAAAGAAATTTTTTTTGAACATCTAGCACCAGAAAAACCAAATAGCAACAGTTTGATTAAAATTTACAAGTCTGAAAATCACCCTACCTTGTAGAGAGGAATGCCACTGACAACGGCCCCAGCCTTGCAGACAGCAAGAGACACAGCAAGAATAGCATTGGCTCCAAGCTGTACAAACAACAAGAAGAAACAAGATGGTCAGAAACGTCGTTCATTATTAAGGTGAACAAAGATAACTCAAATTTCTTTATCAAATCACCTTTTGCTTGCACCAACCCCACTCGTTCTGGGTTCCATCAAGTTCATGGACCATGAAATTGTCAATAGCAGTCTGCTGAGTTGGGTCCTGATAGGAAAAAAAACAAACACATGAATGTCAGTTAAAACAGCTTCAGAAACAAAATTAGATGCACTAAACATAAATCCAAAGAGAGAGAGAGAGACTCACCTTTCCAATCAAAGCTGGGCCGATGATGTTGTTAACATTTCCAACAGCCTATTAAACATTCACAAGAACAAATCAGAAAACAAAAAAAAAGCACATAACACTTCATTCACATAAAATAAATTAAAAACACACTACCTTAGAAACACCCTTTCCAAGGTAGTCAGAACCACCATCCCTAAGCTCAAGAGCCTCGTAGATACCAGTGGAAGCTCCACTAGGAACAGCTGCTGTAACCTTCACACCAGTGGATGTGTGCACATCAACCTATACCCATCACCAAATACAAACAAACAAAATCATCAGCTTAATACTAATCACAAACTAAAAAATCCAAATCAAACAGATCCTTCCCCAAGCACCACGTCAAAACACAATCAACTCCACGATCAATGACACATCTCTCATCTCAAAACTCCGAAACGCAATCGAGATCCACAAAAAAGGAATAAACATTAATCATATCTCTATTCACGATCAAAACGCAGAGTTTTCATTCATTTAATCTCAAAATACATACATCTCAATCAAACAGATCCAAATCAAACAGATCCGTCCCAACGACTCATCTCAAATCTACGAAACGCAATCGAGATTCACAGAACGGAATAAACATTACTAAATCATATCTCTATTCACGATCAAAACGCAGAGTTTTCAATCCCCTAAGCTCAAAATACATCTCAATCAGCTTCTAAATCTCATCAAACAAACAGATCCATAAGTAATAAACAGTGTACAGAGCCGAGAGTGACCTGAAAACGCTAAAAAAAAAGAGATCGAAGAAGAAGCAAACCTCGACGGTGGGGTTGCCACGGCTGTCAAAGATCTGTCTAGCCTTAACAACGGTGATAGTAGCCATAGTCGAAAATAGATCTAGAGAAAGGCGATGAGTACGAGGGTTCAGTGAAACGATCGATTACAGTTAGGTGATGTGTAGAGTGGTATGGTTTGATTATATAAAGAGGAACTGGGTGAGGAAATAGCCGTCGGATTGTTTTAATATGAACCGTTGGATGATAAGGTAGGTTGAGAAAAAAAAAAAAAGACAAAACGATGTGCTGCACGTCTTTTGCAAACGAGGAAAGGTTTTTGCTCCTTGTCCAAGCAATGGAATATTCGAATACGACTTTCGTTTAAACTCTAGAAACCAAATTTAGTAATTAATATTTGTGTCTTGATTTTCTTTCTTTTTTTTGAATATATGGGCCCAAAGCTTACGGCCCATTTAGTTTTTTTGTCGGCTTGCCCATTTAGTTTTTTTTGTCGGCTGGCCCATTTAGTTATACACTAGTGCTTTGACTAACACACCATTGGATGCCCTTGGAATAATAGAATCTGTAACGCAGTATCCAAAGAGCCGCATAAAAGTAATACAACAAAACAAATGAGATTTGACCCTCGTTAATCTAAACTTCAAATGACTTTGACTATATAACATCCATCGTATTTTGACGATCATAATCAGTATAACAATGGCTGAGGAGGAGAATGAGAAGAGCATCGTTGCTGCATCAGAAGATGAGTGCCCATGTGAGACAGAAGCAGTTGAACAAGAGACAGAACTGAGTTCTATTTTGGATAAACTTACTTTAGAGCCTAAGAAAGAAGAGAAGCAGAAGAAGAAACTTTTGGTGTTAAGTCTGAGTGGTCTACTTCTCCATAGAGTTCATCGGAAAAGTAACCGCAAAATTCCCAAGAACCGATCTCCTGATGCTTCTTGTGGTCCAAACCTAGGTAACTTGTTACTATATTTACATTTTAATGAATAATTAGCTTAACTTGATTGGTATTGGTTAGTGTATAAGAGGCCATTTGCTGAAGAGTTCATGAAGTTTATCCTCGAGAGATTTGAAGTTGGGATTTGGTCCTCTGCTTGCGAGTTAGTCTCTCTTCATTATCCATTTTTGAAAATTCAAATTAATTTTCATTTTAATATGGTTTCTTATGGTTTTGACTTATAGGAAAAATGTTGATATAGTTCTAAACATTGTTCTTGAT